TCACATTGCAACCACAGCAACTTTTATCAGCATGCAGCATCACAGCAACTCTCCTTACTTAGCTGTGCAACACCAAAGATCAGTTGCATTGACTGGCACCACAGCCACTCTAAGTCTCTACGTCTTTTTCACAACAACTTACCCTTAGCATGCAACAGCAACTACCTTAGGAATGCAACACAGCATTGCCACTTTCTTCAAAAGTGGTAGCTACGTACAAGGTTTCAAGCATTTTGAATATTGGTGTACGTGACCCTTTGAGACTGGAAAACTAATCTTATTCTTTTTCTGATTATTTTAGAATTTGCACCTTTTTAAGCTATATAACCCATGGAAATCTCGATGCTTTTATAAGCGACAACTCATAACACCTGAGTCAAAGATTTGGTAAAACCACATTTTTCGGACAAAGTGTAAGCAGAGCGAGGAGCAGCTTGTCAGTGAGCTTTCTAAAGACATAACTAGCGCTTTCTAGACTATGATGGTAACCGACTGTCATATCGCATGCTTTAACATATTCACGACTCCGATTTTCGAATGTTGCCGTTTCGGACAGGGCCTTTTTTGGCTTGTCAAATTCACGACCCACCCGTGGGTCGTATTGTTCGAAATGGTAGTCTTTTGAAAAAATCAAATTATTATTATTATTATTATTATTATTATTATTATTATTATTATTATTATTATTATTATTATTATTATTATTAAATTATTACTTATTCAAAACGTGTCTCCAAGATTTTCTCCAGGGGTTATGGAAGGCGTGATCATCAAAATATGATTTGTTTCAGTTTTTGGCATTATACGGTAAGGTTAGGTAGTCATCCTGTGCGAACACAGCATGATGGATTTTTTCGAAAAACTATTTTTGGGATTATTTAACGTGCTGATCACGATTATAGTGTCCAATTTGTTCACTACTGTCCCTCATAGGGCTACGCTAGCAGTACGGTAGAATTTTCGTAAAATTTAAGAAACAAGAAGGCGGCTTTAGAACATGGGATTATCATCTTCATAATCAGCATGCTATAAAACCCATATAAGTAAACAATTTTCTTAGAGCTAGCTAGCTTTACCTAGAGCTTTCTGGGATGAACAATGAAAGATAACAAAGTCAATAAAACTGATGATCTTTTGTCGGGCTACATCAGTCTTTTGCCCACCTCGTACTTCTTGTGAATGTATTCTTGAGTATACAGAAAGAGCCTCATTCTCTGAAGAATTTGAGTCAAAGTCTGTGCCTCATCTGTACTCACGGTGTACCTACCGTAAGATTACATTACCCGATCCCGAGCCCGGACCACTCTGGCTTGAATTTCGCCTAGGTGTCCCCAATCATGCGCCATAACCCCGCAGAATCTCATCGTAAACTGCCAAAGCTAAAGCTTCAGGAATCTTACGACCCACCAGTGGGTCGTGTTGTCTGGATTGGCAGAACACGTACGACCCACCGGTAAATCGTTTTGTCGTGAATGTGTGCACTCTGTGCTGTCATCCATCTACTAAATGCAGCTTGCAAAACTGATGGATCACATCACTTCCTGAAGCACTCAAGCTTTCGCTAAAATCCTTGTAATTGAACTGATGCTCAAAACAACTCATTGCTTCAGAACTAGTGTTTCAAAAAAGACAGATTTTCAGATTTGGTTTGGCGGTTCTTCTTGTCTGAAAGCTACTGAAGTGCGGTTCATAATTGTACGAACACCCAAAATTTTGTAAGTTTTTGGACTTTTTGGGAGAAACTCAAAAAGCCGTTGATACCACGCGATAGAACACAGCCGAAAACGGTATATGATATGATCCATAAGAATGGAAATTGATGTCAATCTTAGGAGTGTTTTTGCGCTTAATGCGAATTTTTAGCGGTTCATAATTATACGAACACCTCAAACAAAGGTCCATTTCTCTTCAAGATTGTAATCATTTGAGTCCAAATTTTTTGTAGAGTTACAGTAACAAAGTCTGACATATCTGCTACACACTGAACCCAGTGCAGTTCAAAAAGAGGACCGTTGCTTTTTTCAGAAGGCTCTAAATGCTTTTGGAGTGACTGTGCTCCAAAAACATCCGTTCTTCTGTGGTTTACGCGCTTTAAGTAGCTTTTACCAAAACTATGAGATAAAATAAGCTCTTTCGATAGGTATTTTGTTTGACGCTTGGAAAATCTTTGCGCTTTCGTGCCGTTTTTCAACCAAGTTTCAACCTTACCCTAGAGTTAGCACGATTTCGAGCCTCAAAACTCATCTTCTGAAGCCGGCCAGAAAGAATCAGCAGCGTTGAGCGTTTGTTTTGGCCACGCAGACGTCATTTCACCAAAAACACTGTTTTTACTATTACAGTCACACCTTTATTTGGTTTGTAGCTCCACAGCCTCAAGATCAGTTCTACAAAAAACCCAAAAACTTTGGCACAGAAACATCATCATGCAAACAATGCAGCTGCTTCATATTAATGTCTGCACAAGAGAGAAGCTGAGTATTGAGGCTCGAAATCGTGCTAACTCTGTGGTAAGGTTGGAACTTGGTTGAAAAACGGCACGAAAACGCAAAGATTTTCCAAGCGTCAAACAAAATACCTATCGAAAGAGCTTACTTTATCTCATAGCTTTGGTAAAAGCTATTTAGAGCGCGTAAACCACAGAAGAACGGATGTTTTTGGAGCACAATCACTCCAAAAGCATTTAGAGAATTCTGAAAAAAGTAATGGCCCTCTTTCTGAAATGCACTGGGTTCAGTGTGTAGCAGATATGTTAGACTTTGTTACTGTAACTCTACAAAAAATTTGGACTCAGATGATTACAATCTTGAAGAGAAATGGACCTTTGTTTGAGGTGTTCGTATAATTATGAACCGCTAAAAATTCGCATTAAGCGCAAAAACACTCCTAAGATTGACATCAATTTCCATTCTTATGGATCATATCATATACCGTTTTCGGCTGTGTTCTATCGCGTGGTACCAACGGCTTTTTGAGTTTCTCTCAAAAAGTCCGAAAACTTACAAAATTTTAGGTGTTCGTATAATTATGAACCGCACTTAATATGTAAGTGGACAAGGCCAAAGTACAGTTTTATGATTCACTAATTTTTGCAACCGTCCCTTATTTGCAGCTAAATCAAGGAGTCATGATTATGAGAGACCTTCTAATATGGTCCCATTCAGTAAAAATAGTAACAATTCTTTATCACTGTTTAGACGATCAAAGATAAGCTGGTGACTACGTTGCACTAACCTAATACATGATGCAAATTAACAGTTTCAGTCATCAGTATAAATTCACATGTCCACATGATTTCTTGTTTTTCTACCGAGAGAGTGAACTTGTGACGGCACCATCAAGTCATGACATCAGCTGTTCAATTTTTGGATGAATGCTATAAATTGACAGGGTGAGCCAATTTAGTGCAAACTACATTCCACTGATTCCTTAAATCTCAAATTAGAAACAGATCATGCGTTTTTTGCACTATGGTCTCCATGGGCGTATCAGAAAAGTCGACAATGAGAGATTCGTAATCATTTTTCGAAAATGCAAACATAATATAATGATTTGGAACGTATGGAGCGATTAATGCAATAAAGATCACATTTACCTTGTCTAAAATTCTTGATCATTTGCAATTCCAACAGTCCAAAAGATACTCAAATTTTCTTCAAACTAGCTATTCGCGTTGCTCAAATTAGTGATCACTGAAGTTTTATGAGAGCACTGCTAGGAAAAGATTCAAACAACAAATAATGTCCAGTTTTGTGTCTACCTTTGCTGTCTGAGGAATTTGCACTTACCTGGCAGCATCTAACTCAATGTTGTCATAGAAGGAAGTAGCCCAGACTGGTACTATCTTTGCACCCGATTTCTAAACAACCTATGAAAACGTCCAACCTGTTGCTTCCTTGATAACTATCAGAAGCAGAGCTAAATGGCTCATTTCGATCAAATTAACAATTCTTTTGCGATTGTGCCATGGTGGTAGTTTACCTCAAGGATGAAGAGTAAAAATTTGAATAGCAGTGTGTGAATGATTCTTTATCTTACGACAGAGAATGACTGGTGCATAAGTTTGCTTCCAATATCTCCGATTTATCAGTCTATTGATAAGGACAGATCAATTAGTAACAGTGTCATTCTGCTGATGTCAACGCGAAGATCCACACCTAAGAAGCGTTCTTACAAAGAAAACATGGGCTCTTAAAGTTTGGAAGAAAGATCCAACAAGAATAAGAATTTTCAAGTGCCGAAAAATTGGATTTGCCCAGAAAAAACCTGCAAGCCTAGACGTGCTCAAGAAAATCATGTCTCCGTTAGAGCTGAGATAACTGGCTATGTTTTCTTCCGTCTAGAAGTTGGGAATATGAAAATTGGCTTGCTCTAACAAAAGTAATGCTAGACTGCTTCGGCGCAAGTATTTTCGTAGTGCAAACCTTATTAAGCAAAATTTTTTCAGCCTTCTTTAAGCGCTATTTGTCGAGAAATATCATTTAACACGAAAAGCCACAAAAAACGGACAATTTTGTACCACCTATTTTTATTTTTCTTGCACCCCAAAACACAAAGATTACGTCTAGTGAACATATGAATGTTTGAAGTATAGTAAATGCGGGAACAAGCTGGAGGCTCGCAGTGTTTTGAGGAGGTCTGTTTTTGAGGTATACAAAATTTTCTCAGGTGTTCTTGATTGTGAACTTTTTACGATGAAATCGTCATCTCGTAAAGCTTGCTTTGCTCTATTTTATTTTACTTTTCTGGTGCGATAGGATAGGAAACTTGCATTAATTTTGCATCTGCTTGATATAACGCGATAACTAAACTTTGTTAGCATTCTTCTGAGCTAAGTTCAAGCCTAAAAAGCACGCGCAACTTTCTCAAGACACCACGGAACCAATTTCCAACTTTTGAACTGCGCATACTTGGTGGGGGTGTGTCTGCGCGGTGGCGGTTGAGAAGTAAGTGGAGGCAGGCCGGGCGGACGGTGTGTGACAGTTCTTTCGCCGCTCTATACAATGCAGCTGCGGCATCTGTATATTCAAGTAACGGTAAGCCTTTTATCCTCCTTAATTAGTTTTCCTTCCACTAATTTTACTTTGAATTATTGATCTCTGAGAGTGAAATTAGGCAAGGTTTCGGTGATTGATGAACTGGTTCTGCTAACAGCAGGATTAGCTGTTGTTTCTGAAGGGAGTGTAACTGAAAGCTGGCTTATGCTTTTTCGCAGTTGATGGTTTATACAATTCCTCTATTCCAGACTACTTTGATAGGAATATTGGTTATTGTTTGCTCACAAAATACTCCACTATTCCCCGTTTCTTGCGAGCTCAATGTACTCATTGTTCTTGACAGGTAATTTTTTTAGCTAAATTTCTTAGCATTATCGAAGGGCTCAATTAAAGTCTCAGAAGATTTTACTTAGCAGTTTCTGAAGAAAAAAACATTTTTCAGAATAAAAATTTACGATGATATTTTAGGTCTGACTCCGTTCTTGGAGGATTCAATAAAAGTAGAAAGTTTGTGACAGATGTTTCTGAAGAACTTCAAATAGGACCACGCAAACATAGGGTACAGTCTAATCTCCCTTGTATTGCAGAAGTGCAAGCTTTTTTCCAGGTTGCAATGATCGTTTACTCTGGTCCAAGTTATAGAAGAGAGATTTTTCCTTGGAATTTTGCCAAAAATAATCAAGAATTTGTTCGTATAACAAATAATTTGCGAGCTATTGGAGGAACAACTAGCACGAAGAAGGTGGGCAATGTTTTTTTTTTCTCTCTTTCGTCCAAAAGAAGGATTTTTAGGCTTTGGAAGTGGCCCTGGCATTGATGGAACAAAGAAATAAGACGATTCCAACGTTGATAATGGTTGTCACAGATGGACGGTAAAATAGTGGACTTTGTGTTACATCTCGTCGTTCAAATACATAACAATAGTCACAATGTTTGTAATAACAACAATGTTAAACATTTAGGTCTGCTGACGACCCAAAAATACCTGCTTTGAAACTACAGCAAGAGTCAAATACATGGATATTTGCGGCAGCCACTGGTGAAGCAGAAAAAGTCGACAAGTTAGTTATAAAAATTTTTTGTCAGGGGTGTTTATTTTGAGATTTCTCAATTCCCTAAAAATTGATAGGATCTTGCTTGATACCAAGAAAACCTCAGCAATCTAGCTTTGCTCCTTTCATTTGAGATCTTGGGTCCCAAACTGACCAGTAACTAACCGGTAACCTTAAAATGACCTCAGATGAAAGCTTGAATAACACTAGTCTATCCTCGAGTCATTTGCAATTTGATATGTGTTTCTGCACATTATGCGCGGCAGCCGACGACACCCTTACTAGTAACTTCTTAATAAAACCTATTCTAGCATAAGAAACTGTGGAAATCTGTGCTACTAATTAACGCTTACCCAAACTTACCAAAAGAGACAAGAAACCAAGAAAAAAATTACAGGAAATGATGTAATCTTACGAGCCGTCAAGTAGAGCGCATGGTGTGCAATACGCATATAAACTTTGATATTACACGACGACATCTCTCCGATATTTCTTCCCTACAAATATAGCTACGGTCCTTGATATTCATCTACACAATTCCACACAACTTGCAAATTTTTTGTCATTTTATCCGGGTACCACAGTTTCTAGTTCTTTGCAACCTAAGCAACCAAAGATCCTAAAAATTCGGATTATAAGTGCAAAGTAGACATTCCTCTACCTTCTCAGTTCTAGACTAAGTCGCCTGATTGATTTGTACTCGCATCAAAAGCAGTTTATTGCCAACATTCCACTCGTATCGTAAACAAAAAACACATGCCATCTAATACTAAAATTGGCCTGTACCACCGTTAAGTTCTTCGTTTTCTTCCAGGTTAATTGGAGCAAGAAAATCAAAGACCAATTTTTGTCCTAAAATAGCTTAATAAGTCAAATGTTTTCGCAGTGTAATGTGTCAGTGGTGTGATGATATGCGGACGTTAAATGTGTTGAAATAAGGACGAGAGGTTCAATTACGCGCAGACACTTTTCTTTTGTTATTGAGGGGTCAGTAGAACGTTGGAATGTGGGCTAAAATCTTGATGAGAACTCAAGTTGCTGCTCGAGTTCAAATCAAGTGCCCTCTAGCCATTGACTAATTCGTGAGGAATGTGAAAAGCATACTCTGTTTACATACTAGTCCTGTTCCACAAACTTGAAGACAACTCCCTCGGTTGTTATTAGCACATGACGTCAGCAACCCTGTTTCCAGACGGGAACTGTTGGACATCACCGGCAACGTTAATCATATTGTGCTTCATCGAGGGAGAGAATTAGCCACCGATATTACAAGACGACTTCTTCGTGAAGCACAGGTGAGCTGAGCTGATTTAGGTACATGCTGACTCAGTTGTGCGTGATTTGTTTGTTTCTTTATTGACTAAGTGGGTGCGTGTCGGTTGTAACATTTGCAGCGTGAAATGAGCGTAGAAATAACAGCCGCAATTTATCGCTTTATTCTAATCAATGAGCGTATTCATTTTGATATGTTTATAATTCATTTCAGGAAAAATGTCGAACCACTACGACATCAACTACAACTACAACAACCACTACTACTACGACCACAACTACAACAAATCCGGTCACGGGTGAGTAACCCTCACAATTGATCTAAATCCAGGAGTTGTAAAGTTGCACCAAAGGCAGCGTCTGGACAAATTCTTGACTTTTATGTCTTTGTCAATCTCAAGCCTTCTCATCAAACTTTCTCCAAATCCAAAGCTCAAAGTTCGTGAGAACCTCGGAAACCCCTTCGGAGAACCCTATTTTGATAAGCTCGGATATTCTCTATCTAGTATTCTATCTATTTTACGTGGCACCACGAGCAAGCAAATGAAACACATGAATATACGGCCTAAAGTTGCCACGAGAAAGTGGCGCACCCAACCGGCAGCTCGTCCGCGTAGGAGTGCGGGGAGCGGAAGGGCGTTAGGGGAGCCGCTTGGCCAAAGGTGCTCTGAACTGATGATTTTCCTTAGTCGGAGGGGGACTCATTCAGGTTCATCAACATCGTTGAACCGGTATTTTGCTTGAGGCTATCTTTAAGGGGTAAGGGGAGGAAATCGGAAGTTAGGGGAGAGAGGTGAGGGAAGGAAGTTTCAGAATTATTCTGATCCTTTACATTCTTAATCTGGCTGTGGCTGTCCTATGGAATACTGTCAGACTGAAAGTTTAAATCTTCTCAAAATAAAGAAGATGAAACAAGACATCATTATCTCAAGCTTTCGTGCATTTCGCTGCTTTCTGAGAAACTTGGCAGACATGACAACTTGTACACTTGCAAACGGAATCTTAATCAATAAACCCTGTGTTTTGTTGTTCTGGAAAACAAGATTGTTTTCAAAACCTCCTTATCTCGGCTTATATCGTTTAGAACGAGAATGTTTTCGCTATTCCGAACTCAAGAACTGCCAACCGCTTATGTTTTCATGAACTTGTCAAGGGTCACTAAGGGGTCCAAAAGTAACTCCCTTCCTTCTTCTTACAAGACATCTTATCCACAAGTACTGAGATTTAATCATATGTACTGAGCACTTTGCAGGTTTTTTGAAATATATCCTCAGAATGGGTAGAACAATGATAACAGATCTAAACGGAGTTCGCGTCTCTCATCTCCCTCTTTTCATATAAGCTCTAACTGCTTCTTTTCCATGACCGCATAGATGAGCTAATCCCGAATTTATTGTTTCTACGTCGAGTAAACTGTCGCACGAAATTTCTATGGTGTTTGATTCCACAGCATGCAGATAGAGCAAACTTCAATAGATGGAAATTTTCTCTTTTTTTGACTGACTTTTGGAAAATTTTCAAAATAATGTTGCGAATCTAAGTTTTCAAAGATTTGCGTCACACGTAATTACATTACATGGTAGCTCGAAGGGAGGGTTAAAAGGCAGCATACACCCAAAATTTCGCCTTCGATGTTTTTGTCATTCTGGGACCTTTCCGTGCCCCTGATTACAGTTATGACATTAAAATCGGGTGTAGGGCGTTAGGCGGCAAACCCAATTTTTTGGACCCCAAAGAACTCCCCGTGCAAAACGACTCCTCCGCCAAAAACAGGGGGGTGGGGGGTCGGGGCCGATACATTACCCGACGCCAATGAAAAAATGCATAGTTTTGAGTTACGAGATTTACGTTGCTTGCGTTTTGCACGTTTTGTCGCCTAACGCTTGTCCTCCCCAGCAGTTGCAGCAACATGACAGCCTGCAGCTGCAACTGTCGTGGTTCGTCGTCTGAAGGAGGCGGACTGTAAAAAGCAACTACACTGTTGCAACAGTTGCAGTTGCAACAGCAGATGCAACAGCAAGCAACCGCAACTGCAGCTTACGCTGACGTGAATTTCGTCCGAAGGAGGCGGAGCGAAAGAAAAGGGGCGGAATGAAAGAAAAATCAGGCGAATTTTCTCCGTCCAGAAGCAACATTGGGAGACCTGACCAACGCAGTTGGTCTTCTTCTGGGTCCTAGATATACACGATATAGAGAATTGGGTAACTTAGATTTTGGGTGTGCTGCCTTTAAAACCCGGTTATTACCAAACTTGAATAAGTAAAGTATGACATTTTTATAATAAGAATTAGGCTTTGAAAAACCGCAACAATTCTATGTAAAGGTAGATATTCTTGAAAGATAATTGTTGAATGGCAGGCAAACTGTTTCGGGTAACATTTTGAGTATTTCTGACATGTCTACTTGGTTGAGGGTTCTAAATAAGAATAAAGAGCTTTAAGTACCTTTCATTTGTGTACGGTACTTTCCCTCCTTTTGATGGAAAAGAAATGAGTTGTTTTCAATTTTTTCCGACTTTCATCAGACTCCAAAGAATATCTTCATATTTCGAAAGTCTGGTTTTACTTTTATTCTTGAAACGATGTTACTTATTTCACACTGAAAAAAACTGACTAATATTTGCAGGCTGCGAGATGGATCTTGTACTTGTCATTGATTTTTCAACTACAACCGATCCGCTTGTGGACTTTTATAAGGATTTGTGCAAAAGACTCATTAGTTATTTGAGAATTGGTCCTCGGTATACACAGGTTCGTTTTGAGTCTCAACACTGCTTTGAATAATTTATAGCTTCTCGAAAATCAATAATTGGAATTTTACATTTTCTATGAGTTCTAGAACTAACGTTAAGCATGCTTTCATTCATAGACCGGTATTTTGACAATTCTGACTTGTGTAGATTTTGAGTGCTCAAAGAAGTCAACCTGTTCTGTTCACTATTTACTATTTACTCTTCACTTTCGTCAATTTTATGGACTATTTTGTTTTCGCGATCTCTATCTGATGTAATTAAAAGCTCAAATAAGTCCGGGAATTTTCTTTCGTCCTTCTAGGCACCGTCAAACAAACATCAGTAGATAATTCTTGATTGAGAATCTGTTTCTCTTACAGTGACGTATCTTTTTCGCCTAACATGCACTTCTGATTTGCTTGGACTCAAGTGAAAGACCATTTCTCTTATTTTATTCAGGTCGCTGTTGTGACATTTGCTACAGTCGGGAGAACTCGTACGAGGTTCAATTTGAAAAGGTACAAGACACAGGAGGAGGTGCTAAACGGGATAGCAGCTTTAAAAACTCATGGAGGAACAACAGCCATAGGTTTGTGTGATTTTATATTTGACCTTTGTTATTCTATAATCTAATAGTTTGACGCCCAATATGATGTGCTTGCGGTGCCAAAATTTCGCGGTCAACTTTGTGCGTGAGAAAATAGCTAAGCCTGTCATGCCGGCCACTTGCGCGCGCAAACTGCCGGCATGAATATTTGTTCACGCGCAAACTCTCGGCACCGCAAGCATACTATATCAAGCGGGACTACCAGACCGTACGAGTTTTAGGAGTGGTTAAATCAAGATGAATGAGTCGATGATTTATTTATTTATTCAATGATTTATATCGTTGTCCAGCGCGTGCGTAAACGCCATTGCCCTTTGTGCGCGAGAAATCGGCGCGCTGATAGTAAAATGCGGCTAGAAAGTCAAGGTTTTTTTAGACAAGCGCACGACGACTTTGATGAAAATGATAAGGGCAATATGACATTATCACTTAATCAAGGGCGCAAGAGGCCACCGCTGTGTTGGTCTCGAGAAAAACCCGTTTCGTGCCAGCTGTCCGTGGCGCAGTCACCAAGCAGCAGAACAAGGGCAGTCTTTTCTCTGAAACGACGACACTATTCCCGAGTCGTACACAAGCGCACTTTCGTAATGTTCTTTGCTTGTGGGGTAAAACCGTAGATCAATTCGAAACCGATCAAAGAGGTGAATTTCCAAGCAAGGGCAACTTTTTTTCAGCTGCGAAAAGATCTGTAAAGGAAGTATGTAAATAGGTTGGCTAATAACTAAGATCGATCCTGCTGCGGCTCCTGATGCAGACGAATTTTTGCCCGTGTTTGGTGTATCTGAGAAGAGCACTACAATAAGGTTCAGATTATAAATTCAGTTCAAGTAGAATCTATTTTCCGATGAAGGAAAGCCCAAAGAAGTGAGAAACTTCAACTTTCTCATTGTGGGGAAACGTAATAAAATTTGATGTTCAACTAAAAATTAACCTTTGCTTTGACCTTACACTGAGCTGAAATATTCCGTTTTACGATTTTCTTCTGATGTCAGTTGGGTTCAGATCTTGATTAGTTCATTGGTGGTAATGTAAATTGAATTTTTGCTCTGACCTGCATTAGAAGTGTCGGCAAGTCAATAAAAACCTTATCTTTTTTGGCAGAAAATATTTACAGATTATTGTCGCGTGTTAGTCTAATGCGATATTGATCAGACAAATTTCTGACCATGTTGATTATTTTCTTCGCCTTTAATTTTTTGGTACTTTTGATTTTTGATTTTATCTTGAGGGAAGCTTCCATTTTCTTCCTCAAGAGCCTTTCTCTCACATGAGCTAAAGTTTGGTTTATGAGACTAGAACAAAATGAATGTCGATATTGTTTACTGATTTTGTTCTTGAGAAAAATGACAGAGATTCTAAGATTGTGCTATTTCGAAAAGTGTTGAAAACTCACTCAAACACTATTAATAGAAGGTAATAAATTTTCTTATCATGGTCATTGACTTGTCTTGCGAAATAAGGGGTGTAGATAGAGACAGATCATATCATTGCACCTAGGCACACACAAGTGAAAGCAAACTCGTTTGGCGCCCCGAGTAATTTAAGGTTCGCGTGATATGTAGTGTGTCAGTCGTGGTCACATCCATCATTCTTTTCGAAATGCACATTTTGAGCGACGCTGCTCGTTGTAATGTAATCAAAAGGGTAAAAATTTCGTAATAAGAAAATTGCTTGAGAGAAAGACAACTTTTGGTTGGTGGCGTCATGAACTTTGACAGACATATGCAGAGGATTTAGAGCACATTTTCGTGCGTGCACAAGTAACACGAGATTTTACGGAAACAGGGCAGTATTACATGGAAAAACTCGTGTTTAATAATCTCCATGAGATTTTGTTGAAATCGCGTAGTTAAGAATACTGATGGTTCTCTTTATCCCTCAAGATTTTGCGCAATAATGGTCCAATAATTTTTTCAAGTTCAAGCGATTCGCTCCAGCGTTATAGCGTGCGAAAAAATTTCAAAAGTTTGGGACCAATAATTCTATCACAGAATTTTGGAGACTGCATGATGTGTGATTTTTGAATTTTCACTACTACACTTGTAACTCAAAATAGCATGCATTTTTTGAAGTAATGAGCCTAGCTTTACATTTCAAGTAAAGTGCTAACAAAAACAACAATTATGTTAGTTCTTTACAAACTTTTCTTACTAATTGTATAATTTAGGTGAAGGTATCAGAGTGGGAACTAAACAAGATCAAGTACGCGAAGGAGGCAGACCAGGAGTAGCAACTAAGGCAAGCACATAACTTCTCCCTTTTTTAACCCGACATATGTCAATAATTGAAGGTCATGATTGTGTTTACGGATGGATGGAGCAATAAAGGTCCAGCTCCCGATGAGATGGCAAAACTTGCACATGATAACGGTTTCGAGATATACACCGTATCATGGACGGTAAGATCTTATAGTTATAGACGATAGCGCTCAGTATTTTTTTTTACAATAAGGAAATGCTTTGACATCGTTTTCTTATCCTAAAGCAAATATGAGTTCGACTCAACCTAGTTATTTCAATTTTGTTTTTGAATGCCCAAATATGAGTTAAGCTTAACCTAATTACCTAATTCTTCCCGAAATTACATATGATTTCTTTGTATAACAAAGTTATAAATTTGAAAATTCGAAAATATGATTGTGTAGATAAACAAATAGAACTGAATGAGTATACGCGAGTACGTAACTTAATTTGTGAATCTGCACACTATGCGCGGCAATCGTCGACACTCTTACTGGTAACTCATCAGTATAACATTTTCTATCGCAGCAAAATGCAGAAATGTGTACTTCTAGTATTACAAATCCGACTGAATCGAACAGGACAAGAAAACAAGGAGAAATCACTGAAAATGAGCAGTTTTAATTCGTAAGTCGTCAAGTACTGCGCGTAGTGTGCAATACGCATATCAAGTTAAAAATGACTTGCAGCCACCATTGCTGGAAGCCCACACAAATGTACTAATTGAAGTGGAGGGATTATATTTTGATTTTGTGGCATAAAAGTATTGTAAATTTTTTGCACTCCGTTCTGGCATCTACATGGTTTTGTATTCTAAGTTAGCAAGAGCCCAGCTCTATAATCGAATACAAATCTATTTTTGAAAATATTTCTAGGGCAAAGTTGATCATGCCGTTCCGACGAATCATGACACTTTGGGAAAAATAGCTCAAGATGCCAACCACATGTTTACGCAGAACAACTTCGACCAGCTAATTGAACGAGTACGACAGCGAAATCTGAAGTGTCAAACGTAAATTTGTTATGGAATTTATACAGAATCGAAATGTACAGATTTCTTTGCTCTAACATTACACGCTGATACTCACAGAAACTTTCTTTGCATGATTTTTTTTGTCGTTTACTGTGCAGCGCCGTTTGTAGATTATTAGGTTTGTGTTATGATTTTCTTGATGTACAGTGAAAATTTGCTTCCGGAATGTGTTTATAAAGTTGTTTGATGTGCACAAAACTGTAGCCGATTGACAGAATTCGAAATCTACTTTTCTGTATGGTTAATCTGTTTGGGACAACCGAAAGGTCTTTATTCCAGTGACTATGTACTTTATTTTTACCAACGGAATCCTCTATTGGATTAGCTGGAATTTTGCTTTACGGCTTGTCGAAATGCTATCGAAAATTTTAAACCAATATTAGCTGTCTTTGAAAAAAACGTTTCAATGTATTCACAAGATGATGATACGCTTGGTACAGAATCGCTTGGTATCTAATCGTGAAAATGCACAAGGAACTGAATGTTCTAATTTTTTACGCAAGTTTTTTCGGAAATCCAAAAATCGCAGATCATATCTGCTATTGTTTGAGTAAAACTGTATGTTTATAAGTACCATACCATATTGTTTTTCTGTGCATCCACCTCAGCATGAAAGATAAAACTTAAAAAGTCAAAGAAAGGAGCTGTGGAAAGCTAGCCCTACTTGGACGTAACCATCCCTGCCATAGAAAATTTTGAGAAATTGATATTTGACACTCACAATGTGAAACTTCTTATCGTATAGAATTTCAGCTAGTAACGACTGAGCCAAATTAGCAGCTTTATGCACATTGTGGCTACCATATTTTTTTGAGTGTAAGGAAAATAGTGTTCTGAGCAATAAACTAGATGATGATGTTTGGGTAATTTCACACGCTCTGTTGGATTCATATCTTTTTTCTGCTTGCGCAACTCGTATCAAGTTCTTTTATACTTTATTGCTAATCGCGAACCGTAAGCATCGGATAAGCCGCATCATAAATGCGCAACACTTGACCACTGAAACAGTGATACTTTGCGGTTGGCCACTATTGGATTGGCTACGGGCCATTTAAGTATACCGTAGGATTTGCACGCGACTCAAAGGAAGCGTCCCGGCAAAGTGGTGCGTACTGGAGTTTCACACCATTGCAACTGCAGACCCTCAACTAATCCATCAGTGAAGTTTAGAGTGAAAAAGTACGTTTGGAAAGCCTAGAATCTTCCGGGTCCCGCCCCTCACCTCGGATCCCACCCACTTACGCGTATTTTCCACCAAATGCTGAAAGCTTCGAAAAAAGCTCATTTTCGCCACTTTTATGAGCTGCGAAGGCCACTTATGGGTTTAGCACGGTGAGAAAGGCCTGAAAAGTGAAAAACTGAAGAGCGAAATGCCGGGACACTGGCTTCAAGTAATTGGTTAGTCATCACAAATCTGGTTCCAGGATTATTTTACCTTTTGAAACTCCAGATCTTGCTTGCTTTCCTGACCTATATTGCATAACCATTATGATCTGGGTCAAGTTTTCCCCTACAAATGTTTCGCTAACCTTGGCACGCTAATGGAACCTTGTCAGTCCATTGCTAACACCGCTAAACGGTTTTCTCGACTGTATCGTCTAAGACTGACCGGGTTTTTGCGCTAACATATATAAGCGTAATGATGCGAGTGGTCACCGAAAGTCATGCTGTCATTCCTCGTCACCATCGTTATATTTATTGACCACACATTCGGTTGTCTTTCTACTACACCATCACAAGAGGCTTTCGCCAGTTCTCTGTACAGTAACCTGGCAGCGCAAGCACAAGCTGCAGGGTTACCGCAGCCAGCTGCATTTGCCCAAGCAGCAGGGTTACCACAGCCAGCTCAGCTTGCCCAAGCAGCAGGCTTTCCGCAATTAGCTGAGCTTATCCAGCCCTCCGCTTTACCCACTAACCCACAAGTTTTACCCACCTTTACCCAAGCACAACCCCAGCCAGTGTGGACGAACTCTAACCCTCTGCCAAATGCGCCACAGTCTATACAGGCGAATGCTCAGTCACAAGTGGGTCCCTCTATTCAAAATGCCCAAGCGCAACCCCAGGTTAACAGCAACCCTAATTCGAATGTCCCTGCTACCCAGCAGCAAAGACAGTCGCAGCAGAGACGACCAGGAAGAAAAGGTCGCAAGAAGCCGAAGAGGAATGAAGATGACCCGGATGAATATTACTATTATTATGATGCCCCTCAGGGACAAGGGGAAGGAGACACTGACGTAAACTTTACATTTTACTTACATAACTTCTGTTTCTTCCAGAATTCCCACTTTTTAGTTGCTTTATGACTACTACGATGGGTCGCAAGTAAATAACCAGCCACAACAGTCACAAGGACAAGAATTCCAAGCAAATCAACAACAACAGGAAGCACTGCAGTCAGATGGTCAGCAGGGGAACGAACAGCTTCAACAATCGGAAACTCAGCAATCACAATCGCACAGCAATCGATCTCCCCAAAGAGATCGGCACGTTTGTACGAGCCCTCGGGACAATGAGGTAAGGTCAAAATGTTCAATAAAGCGTGGGTGACACTAGATCTTGCAACTTTTTGAAGATGTGAACCTAATTTTATGGATTTTGACGGGGCTATAATTCTACGCTTGTCATTTTTTTCAAAATTAATTCCCATTGTTTCAGACGACTTTCTTTATTCCATACGATTCACTAAGTTTACCAACCTATGGGCAACTTCTGCCTAGAAATGGTCAGTTTACAAAGTCGTGATTTTCCGTTACCTCGCTAAAACACACTTTTTATACTCTTGCATCTGTTCGTCTGGAATGGAGTACACGTACGCTGGATCGCCAATGTCTGTCTCATCAAATGGTTCATTGACGGACATTATTGGCTCATTCTACTGTCAAAATAATTCGGAACTCTGCGTGGAGGACGTTTTTGGCAGGCAGTGGCGTCCAGCACAAGCAGAAAATCTCATCACAGTCGTTCCCTCGATCGCTTGTATGGAAGGAGGGAGATGTGAGTATTTTTTTGGTGAGAACAGTCGATATAGTGTTTCTGCGGTGCCGACATCATTTGCGCGGAAAGTGCAAATGCCGACAACTTGCTTGCGACTTGCGCGTGAAAACGGTCATGGTGCGCACGTCGCCATCATTTACGCGCAGATGTTGCCTCCAACGCAACTACACCATATTAGTCAACATTCTCATTACATAGATTGCTCTTAAATAATAAACACAATCATTTATTCGTCCCAGATCATCGCTGCGGTGTGTTTTTGCTGTTCGTAGCATCTCGTCCATCTTCGACAAGTGACATGGTTACGTCCACAATGGAAGGCATTCGATACCACGATATGTTCAAAGATGGCAAATTTCTTCACTTTGCTGATTATGTTTACGTTCCTATTAGAGGATTCTCATGTAACTCATGTCGAGAGAATTATTGTAGGCCTCACCAGCGCCTAATTTAGTCTTATTTGGTTTTTCGCCTATGATCAAATTGATACGGGTATTAGGAGTAAGACCAATTCAAACTGTACAGAAATATCTCTATTGCATGTTCAGGTAGCGTAAATAAAGTGTTCTCGACTTCTGGAAGATTGCCAACTTCAAGTGATTCAATCGGGTGTTGATAATCGAAAGACAGAGAAGAGATCACAAAGATATTTTTGCTTTAACACAAACGAAACACCTATATGCAATTCACATTTCGCACAAAATATAAACTATTTCCCTTCGCCTATCTCGTAGTGAAAATGCGAAAGAAACAAAAAATATTGTACATAATACGACACGGCACAACGCTACAGCAATCTTACGGACCTTGATATAAGGTGACCTCGAAGTGGTGGCTGTGGAAAAGTTAACTCTTTTAATAATCTTTCGGTGATGAAATATAAGACGTATAAAAGTGAGGGGGAACAAGGGTACAAGGAAAGTATTGAACGTGCCAAGTAACGGGGGACATGCGACTACTGGTTGTTGAAAGGGTTTGTTTGATTTCTGTTGATTTTTTTGTTTCAAAAGCTTTAGGCTTCAGACATCATACTATGGAGCTGAGCAGTGGTGATTTTCCAAAATCATTGAAAATTCATTAAATACTTCAACTATAGTACAACTCTGTACATAATTGTTCTATGGTTCAGAAGTCTTATTAGAATACTTTTAGACGTCGTGAAATTTTTTTCAATTGCTATTTTATTGGCGCTATTTTTGATGAATCTTGAAGCCGTTTTGCTGCAAATTCCTGCCATAATCACACTTCAATGGAGAGGGATAGTTGCTCCTTTTGCCAACATCTTAAATATAGGATGAAGTGAGCCTTTCAAAAAGTCAAATCTTCCAAGGGAATTGTCAATAATTTAGCGTTGTGCATATCTTTTGGGACCTCATACAATCCTTTTCGCTTGAAAGCTTAGCGGGCTTATGTAAATATTTAGCTCCTAATTCTCACACCTTCCTTTTTAACCGGATCTCCGCAGATCTGTTAATACACTGACATCTTTACGGATTAAGCTAGTCTTCCAAGCTATCTTTCATCTGAAGGTCCGCAACATTTGCGCGAATATCTGCAAGATCTTGTGAAACTGGTTACCAAGAGTAAAGCGCTATAAATAGCGAACAAGAATGAGGAATTCTGTGCGGTCATGGAATTCGAAAGCCGAACTCGAGCCTATAAGGCAGTTGCTTATTCTGCCATCACATTCGCTGTGCTTGCAGTGTTATCGGTTTGTCTTGCTAAATTACCTGCTCTTCGCCGTGGGACCATGCTCAATCTATATTTATAGGTATGCATCACAGTGCCAATGATTTATAGCTATGTGGTGCATGTACAAGAACAGATGAACGCTGAAATGGGTTTCTGCAGGGTAAAAAAAGAACAATTAGATTGTTTACAAAATCTAATATTTATGTTCTAGAACCACGCAAAGGAGATATGGCACGAAGTTGCAGAGCTGAAAAAAATCCCGAACAATCGCACTCGCACTCGCGTCGTTCGTCAAAACTCCTACATTGCTCCTGGAGCATCCGCCCAAGCTTGCGAACCCTGCTGTCTCCCAGGTCTCCCGGGTCCACCCGGACGAGCCGGTAGACCTGGAAAGAATGGCATGCCTGGAGTTCCTGGAATGCCTGGTTTGCCCGGAAAAGCATCGACAGCAGCAATATGCGAACCCATTACTCCCCCGCCGTGCAAGCCCTGCCCCATGGGACCACCTGGAACTCCCGGAGAGGATGGAGCACCAGGAGATGCTGGATCACCTGGACAAACAGGGCGCAATGGAAATGATGGGTAGGTTATCCGAAATTATAGAGACACATCTTCTTGATAACGCTAACCCTAAGGAAAGTATAAACCCGATTTAGGAACCCAGGCGAACCTGGACCTAAGGGACCACCAGGGCCACCTGGAGATGCTGGTCACCCTGGACCTCCTGGAGAACAAGGAACACCAGCTATGCCCGGCACGATGGTTCCTGGAGAACCTGGAGCACCTGGAGACCAAGGACCACCCGGCCCACCTGGACCTCCCGGAATGCCCGGAGCCGATGGAACACCAGGCAAAGATTATTCGATGATAACTCTTCAATGCATCATCTGGTTTTAAAATACATTCTCATTCTAGGTCACCCTGGCCCTAAGGGACCAAATGGTCCTGACGGTCCGCAGGGTCCTGATGGAAAGCCTGGAGCACCCGGTCCCGGAGGTACACCAGGAGACAGCGGAGAGAAAGGAATCTGTCCCAAGTATTGCGCTATCGATGGCGGCATTTTCTTTGAAGATGGTACCAGACGTTAGAATAATGCGTTTGCTTTGCTTCAGGAATAAATATCGGCACGTACACACTCCCGTCTTTTCAATGTTAATACGAGAAAAATAGCCAGTAGAAAACTTCATTGTTAGTGGTTAAGTGGTGATGATCGACCATTAAGTGGTCGCATCGAGAAATTAGTATTGCCAACAACTCCAAAAAGATTGGAAATTGTTTCACAGATTGTGTTAGTGATGGCGTGGCACCCGGACAAATCTTCCTCGTTGGTCTCTGTACATGACAAGCACAACTTTTCGCAGACCTCTGTAAATAAGTACAACTGCGATTGACAATATACTAATAAATAATGTTATTCTTATATACACAGAAATCGCACAGTTTATGAAGATGGGCTCCGCCCACGAGGACAACTATTACGGAATGTGGAGTACTAACAAAGGAAGGATACTCGATCGCAGTGACGATTGGGTAAGCGGTTTATACCGCGTATACCGTTCCCAAACGGTGATCTCTGAACCGCACTCCATATCTGCTATGACGTCATTCTGGAAGAGCTTTGAAGGATTTTGAAAAAACGCAAAACCGGCAGCATACGAGGGGAATCAAACCCACGACATTCAGCTCAGCAGTAAGCCACTCTAGATCATTAGTCCATCAGGGCAATAGTAAGGTAACTCACGTACCTGAATGCGCCTGCAGCACCAAAAATCCTTCATAGCTCTTTCAGAATGAAATCATAGCAAATATGGAATGCGGTTTATAGAGATCACCGTCTGGGAACGGTATACGCCATACACCGTTTACCCAATCGTCATTGTGATCGAGTATCCCTCCCTTGTAAGTCGCATGGGCTCTGGCAGCTATCCGCGTGTGCGCAGCCTGTTGACGTCATAACCAGGGTCAAGCAAGGGGTGTGGCACACGATCGCTGGTTACGACCCCCCCCCCCCCTGACTGCTGTCTTAATAAGACCCCCCCCCCCCAGGACTATACCCTTAAGATAGCATTACTTGGAGGCCCTGTCAAACATAACGGGCAGCATATCCATAATGAGCATGTCAATTAACCCCTGTAGACAAAGTTTGAGCGAATTCTGAAGATTCAAGATACTAGGCTACCTAAGTGAAATGGTCAAATTCCAACATGGTTAACTTTGTTTCAAAGGTGGATTAGCTATCCGTTTTCGCACTCAAGACAAAGCACTACTCCTTCTTTGTCCATCTCAGGAATCCCGCTTCAGAAGACCTCCAAACTGTGGAATTAGAAGCCAACCAAAATCTCGTTTTTCCCATTTTTCGCTTTTGATCGCTGTGCTTTCACCAAATATTACTCAGAGCTAAGAAGACGAATCAGACTCAAATCACTCCTGTGAAAACTAGGTGATCTAGGCTATCGATCCATATAAATACTGTCCGCTAAAAATGTTTTTTTTTTTGATATAGTTAATGGCCTGCGGCACCCCCCCCCCCCCCCTCAAAACCTTCGGCAGCCGCATTAACTACTTCTGAAGCGGGATTCCTGAGGTGGACAAAGAAGGAGTAGTGCTTTGTATTGAGTGCAAGAAGAGGTAGCTTACTCACCGCTAAAATTAAGTTAATCATGTTTTAAATTACTGCCTTATACAAGGTTGTTTACTGCTCGGAGACCTCAGAGTTCGCTGAAACTTGGCGCATAGGGGTTATTCGACACGCGGATTACGACGATTATGCTTGATTAGAGGTACGGTAGGTTACGGTAGGCATACGGTATCTGCAAGTTTGTGTCGTTGAACAACTTGAATTTTGCAGGATTTCAACAGCGCTTTCATCAAGTCAATTTAGTCACACAGCTTGTACAAGTGCTTTTGACCTTGGGTCGATACGACCCCCCCCCCCCTACCTACTCCCCTTAACGACCCCCCCCCCTGCGGCGTGCCGCACCCCCCGCTTTACCCTGGTCATAACGTCCTCTAACCGTCTCTCGTCACTGTAACCTAAATGTCTCACGAACCTCCGTTGCATCGATTTTGAGCTTAACGAAACTTTTGATCGCTTGGACTTCCTTTTTCTTCGCCTATGCAAAGTTGTTATGGGTAGGCGTCTGCTTGCACGAGAAAAGCGAACAGATTTCGGGCTCGATCTTTTGGAGCGCCTACGCGAGCGCTTGCTGCGCTTTCGTTTGGATGTCCTCCTTCTAGATCTCCTCGAACTTGTACTTTTTCTAGATCTTCTTGAACGTGAACTTGATCTCGATCTGGATCTCCTGCAATAGATTATTATGTAGTCGACCAAATATATGGATATATAGTCGACGCTAATAACGACTTCATTTTTCCGAGAAAGTATACCACATTACGTATAAGTACTCAAACATTCGTACACTGATAAAGCTGTGTACATGCTCAAATGATAAAGCACTTGAGCGGTATCTGCTGAGATGTTTGGGGTATGTAGGATTTTAGCCCAGCATAAAAGCGGACACCCTCTATCGCGGCTCTGCGATGAGAGCGCTCCTCGAAGTAGGAGGCCACGAGCACTGATTGGCAGTATCCAGCGACATTTACGATGCACTCATTGCCGAAATCGCCTCAGGACTACTCCTTGCCTTGCCGCCTTGCCAGCGCAAAACGGCTATGTGTCGCGGCTGAGCCTCACTTCGGTGTCTGCTGCTTTCGTTTTTCAGTCTATAATCTTCTTTTTGTGTTATCTACCATGCACGCGTCTGGCTTAAACCTCCCGATTTTAGATATCTCCTTAGCGGTTGAGCAAACTGATTGAATACGGATTGGAATTTGGGTCAAAATGTGATTGATTTGGGACGAGCCACCTTTGAAACTTTTGAGACTCGCTAATAAAATCTAAAGAATTTCAAGGCTCAAGAGGCTGCCGTGCCGTATCAAACTTGGCGTGGATCTGTTTGTGTGAAGTCTCGGGAGCAACGTGTATTAGAGTTAACATAGACGCGCGCCATCAGTAGCACGGAACGAGGCACCTCTCCCGTGTTGGGATTTCCTTTTCATTTCTGTACTAGTTTAGTTTGGTAGGTTTCATATCATAGTTTTTTGTTATTCAATATCATCGAGATAAACCGTTAGTGACTCGATGTTGTGTCAACGCGCTCTAAGGCAAATTGCATGCTAGTCGCGTCGTAAGAGTTAAGCGAGCGAGCGCACTATGTACATATAACCTCGGGCAGAGATCATGCGATCTCATCATCGCGATTCATCGCGAAAAAACAAGTTTTACGAGTTCATTACATGCCTATCTTCTTGTATTTCAGTTGTGATAGTTGGTCACGATAAGTAGTGCTGGAAAACTATCACAACGGAAAAGCAAGAAGATAGGCATGCAATGTATTGTTACAATTGTCTTGTAGCGAGCAATCGCGCCGATGAAGCGTGAACTCTGCTGGGCCTATCTCGGATAAAATCTAGATGCTGAGGGCCCATCGAGCCACCACAACCTCAGAGACGCGATCGCACAAGTGCGGGGTTATAACTCAGACTACAAGCCATAGATTTTCTTGTGATTTTGGGATAAAACCTAGAGAGGGGAGCCTCGCCTATCAGCGGGGTTTAGAGGCAATCTGGAGAGCGTCTGTTGAGCGACTGCTAAGAAGATAGGGTCCTACAGCGATTCTGCGTTCCACCGTTGGCAGGTAGTGTTCCACTCATTCAAATTGGGTGGAGGACCATATCGCCGAAAGTAGATGGTTTCTCGCGGAAGTCTGCTACAAAGGCGCGCGCCTTCATGCGTTACAGACACCACGGAATCGTACCAGCTGTCTCCGCGAGATGGAGCCTATCGGCGACATATAGTCCCCTACCCGTCCAAATTTAGATTGACGGACTTTGAAAGACGCCGGCTTTTGCCGTTTTCGCACGTTCTAAGGTGATTTACGAAATCAGCGTAGCGGATAAGCCCAATTCGGCAAAGTTCTTGCTTAAATGCCCGTTACGACGCAAGAGGTTTTACGCGAGATACTTTGAGAACCCCTGAAATCTACAGATGAGTAGCCCGAGTGATCAGCAAATACCCCAGTGGCGTACCGAGGGGGGGGGGGGCGGGGGGGGGTGCCCCCCCCCTAGAATGGGTCGCGAAATTTTTGAAAGTTACTTATGTGGGTTGTAAAAATGTGCAAAAGACTTATTTATACTTGTAAGTAATTAAAATAATTTTTTAAATTTTTTAAAAAATCAATTTAGCTTTAAAAAAAATTTTTAGGGGGCGTGGCTAGCGCCACGCACCTTCTTTAGAAAAAATTTTTTGTCGCCCCCCCCCCCGAGCCGAAATCCTGGGTACGCCACTGAAATACCCGTATTCACAAAGGTACTTTGAGGTAATTCTCAAAGTAAATTTTACCTTGAGAATCTACCTTAGGGTGTTTAGTATTGAATAGAAATTACCTTGAGGTAAATTATACCTCAAGGTACTTAAATCCTTGATACAACTTCTAACCCTATCCGAAGGAAAAGTTAGAAGGATACCTTTAGAGATCCTAGGGACTTTGGGAAGCTGTTCTTCTACATGAATAATGTAGTGCCATAGTTTATGTCAATTTAGCAATGTTGAGAAATTTGGTTAAGATTAGTGAGAGTTGTAGAGTTTGAGCGAACTTAACATAAATTTCTGTCTTTACTCCTAGAAAGTTTATACCTGTTAACAAAGCCTGGATCTTGATCCTGCTAAGCTGGATGTGGTCATAAGCAGGAGTTGTTCACTTTCACGGCATCTTGAGCACAGTAGCTATGTTGTAATTATAAAGTCGAAATTGCTTCATGTAACTGCTTTGTTTTCGATCTTCAAAATAATAGACGTTACCAAATGGTGGCATTTCTGCAACGTAACCCTCAATCCCATTTCCTTAACTGGCCATTTCGGATTTCAAAGGATGCTTTTACATCTTTCAAGTTCACGTTGTTCCGCACTTTAGCGGAAAAAAAGAGCTAACGGTTGAATGCAAAAAATAGATGAAAAATGTTCCTGGCTGAGCAGGAAAACTTTATCACCTCAACTCTTCATTTGCTCACCACGCACACCTGTAAGTTTGCACGATATAGCTTTGAGCAAAAAATAATCTTCAAAAACCGAAAGTGACCCATTAGAGAGCTGTCTGCTTCAATGGTGACCATTTTAAAGCTTCGGAAGCTCCAAAACTTAACGAATTTTGGAATAATCGGGCCTGTGTGAACTATAGAAAAGTCAGAGGCAAAAAACATTTAGTGAAATTCTGCGCGTCAGAAAAATTCGCAAAGTATTTGAAAAAACCTTATCGATACAACCAAGCAAGGCAGATTTTTCAACCTAAAGTGACTATTAAAAAAGATAATGACACATTGGAAGCTTTTGTTGAGACACTCTCTCGATAACCGTACAAGAAGAACTTTTTCCGGAAAGGTAAGTTCCATCGTTTTAGAAACTATTAGGTTGGCCCGAAAGTTCTTTCGTACCATTTTCAAAAATTCATAACGTCTGAATTCTCCAACCGATTTGACTACTTTTATTTTATTGTAAAAGAGTAAGTCATGCTCTTTACAACGACATCTTAACTGCTTGCTAATGATCATCTGTTGCATAGATAGGAGCGATAGAAAAAAATTGGTCAAAATTCGAATTTGCTGTGTAGGGTCATAAAAAATCGGAAACCTGCAATAAAAATCGGAGCAGTCAGTATTATGGGTTTTTTCACCAGATCTTCTAACAGTGCAATGTTTGTGCTAATTGAGCACCTCTATGAAAAGTTATGATTTTCCTGAAAAATGCCAAAGTAAATGAAATTTGCCCTTTTGTACTGCTTGCCCGAAAATCATAACTTTTCATAGAGACGCTCAATCAGCGCAAACATTGCACTGTTAAAAGAGCTGGTGAAAGAACCTATAATACTGACTGCTCCAATTTTTATTGCAAGTTTCCGTTTTTTTATGAACCTACACAGAAAATTCGAATTTTGACTAATTTTCTTCTATCGCTCCTATTTATGCAACAGATGATCATTAGCAAGCAGCTAAGATGTCGTTGTAAAGAGCATGACTTACTCTTTGACGCAAAAATAAAAGTAGCCAAATCGGTTGAAAAATTCAGAAGTTATGAAGTTTTGAAAATGGTGCGAACGAACTTTCGGGCCAACCTAATACATTACCAATTTAAAACCAGATACAGATATCATAGAAACAACCAAATTCTAATTGTTAGACAAAGCCCATTTGATCGAAATAGTTGCTTATATAAACAGTACAGTCTCAAATCATTGACTGTAAGACTTTAAAACCGATATTCCAACAAGTTCCAAGTGAAATAGCACGGAAGTACAAATGAAAGCAGTTAATAGCAAGTGCGTCATGCCATGCTCATAATATACGTCAATATTTAGCGTGCTGGCACAGGTACATTTAATCTTGGGAAAGAAACTTTGATGAATACGAAAATTATACCTTGAGGTAAATTTTACCTTGGGGTATAGCTCCATTCTAATTTCATCATTGTAGTTGGAAGCAGGTGAGGATGTGTTTAATAAACTCAGTTCTTTTTCTGACGAACTGCCAAACTTTGCCGAAAAAAATCCGAAATGTCCAAAAGCGCCAAGAAGCATTGAAAGCGCGCAAAAGCGCCACGCGCTAGCCACAATCCTGAAAAATCACTAAGGTCTGCATGCTTAATGTTATTGGCATGGTCAAATTTTCTTTCTATTTTTTTCGAAACAATTCTCGCTCCAGACTTTGAAAGGGGTGAAATAACGATGAGAACCAAAAAGGGCAAGAACCTTGCAAACTCAATAACTACTTTTATAAACTTCTCGATCAGAATAAAAAACCAGTAATTATGGTGTGACAGGCGATTATCCAACGATATTTTAATAAAAAATGCAAGCCTCATAATCGGAATCTGCCACTCACACTAATTAGGTATTATGTTTCAGCTTTTTCAGGTTTTTGCATCCAAGAAATTTTTCCTTCCGCGTGGCAGGACCATTACAAGAATTTATATTTTGAATCTACAATTCTTTGATGAAGAGAAACAGATGTTTTATATATTGCAAATATAATGTGAAGCTAGTTCTTCGGCAGTTAAGGTTAAGATCTGCGAAAAACATCAAGACAAGTTTGTATACATTTTATCAATAGGTCCTCTTTGCTTGGCCTAACCTTAAAGCCGTAGTTCTACTTTTTTTCTCGAAAAATCATCTGGAAATGCACGATGCAAATACCAGATTATTTTCATGAAGTAATGCCATCTTTGCGACAAACCCAGTTGCAAAAGTTGGTTCGAATGCGAGGAATATCAAACGTTAGTGTATCGCAAAGTTGGGCTTAAAGACTTTGAGACACCCTTTACATATTTTTCGAGGCTACTGCAACTTGGTATACTCCCCTTATAAGTTTCAAAAATGAGGTGCGAACTCATGTTTTGTCAAGGCAGGTAGTTTGAATGAAAAAGGTGGCCATAAACCCCCTTTTGATCTATCAAGACATGAGATTTAATTTTATCGTATGCGAACATGTGGAGTATTTCGAAGCATCTCCCTGTCAAAACATGTCAGCTCGGGTTCGGAGGTCACAACAACAACAAATTTGGTCCTAGCAAGAGTTCTAATGGTAGAATTTAGGCTGCGTTCATACTGATCCCGAAGTCCGGAAACATTCCAGCACAGTTCTCGAATTGAGCGCTGTGCTGGAACTGTTCCCGGACTTCGGGATCAGTATGAACGCACTTACCGCTGGTACATTGATGAATACTAATCGCTCAAGGTTCGAAGCGCGTCTAGAGACATGCGATTCACTCCGGTTCGTCACCTTAATTTTGGATCGATCCCTTGGTGGGCTTCTTTTCAGGACAGATTTTATTTTATCGAACTTTTTTTCAAGGTAGTTTTGCATATTAATATAAGGGTATCTTTCATGCATTTGTTGGAAGTGTTTAGAATAGGCCTGTAGCTTTATTTGATAGAGATGAGGAACTTTGAAAAGTCGCACTCAAATCCGAAAATTTATTGCAATCAGTTCCTTGGAAGATTTAAGCACAAATGTATGCTTTTTTCATAAAACTACAAAATATGTCAGAAAGGTCTTTGGCACACTTGATCGTATTATTTCAACGCCTCATCATGTATAGTCGCTTCGGGTGTTTTATGGTTCATATATTTTATTGGAGGAGGTAATCGCCAGAGCTACGCCCATTTTGTAAGGGTTGGGCCAGACTGCGCGGGTACGCGCTGTACGCAGCGTACGTCGCGTAGCCGCTTTCCCAGCGTAGTCTGGTCCAACTCTAAGCTTAAGAGTAGAACAAAGGCATCTGTTAACGCTCCTCGCAAAAACATTTAGGTGTTCAATACACGAAGAGATGGAAGAACTGGAGCTATAGGGCTCACTACAAGGATGCTCAAGAAACTAACTTCGGTCGTACATACCATTGTTACTAGTGTTATTACTAGTGTTATGTTATCACATCGCTGGTATCACATGTGTTACCCCTTAACCGGGTACCCTTACCATTGTCATCCGTGTTACCGTATTGAGCCCAAGAAGGTAAAAGACCACTGAAGAATTGGAATGACGTCAATTTGACATTGGCCTCATCGTACAGCTCAGCTGCTTCATCATTTTGGATAAATCACTAGGTTTAGAGCGCACAGCGGCTTTTTTCGCGAAGGCACAAACAATTCACTCCTCTAAACAATCTTGCCCACCTTCCTGACATCAGTCTAGCTGTTGCTACTTCCGCATCCTCGACATCTGCAATGTAGATTGTGGCGAAGGTGCACTATTCTACGCCGTTCGGCTCTTACACTGATAAGGGCCCTTTTCTGATGCTCTGCGTCTCGGTCTTGGTAGAAATCGTCCGCATTTGGAGCAGCGTTCTCTCAGTATTGAATCCAGGCTAGTTACAACTGACCCATTGGGAGGAATATGACTGGGTGAGATTGCCATGAGTATGAAATGAACTAGACTGAGGTACTATTTACTTCAAAAGCAGAGGTTGCTGCATTTTGAAATGTGGAAATGCAATTAAGCATGTGTTTGACGGGTTGCTCAATTCTTGTTGTGTATATAATACAGTTTGGTTCATTATATCGCCAATCATTACTGCTACCCGTGCGTCACCTCTGCCTCAGAGGCACGTATTTGGTTTCTCTGCGTACATGGTTTCCTCGTGTCAGCACAACGCAGAATCTGCTTCGAAAAAACTTGTAGTAATCTATTTATTCAAGAAGCTCTGTCAATTTACAACGTTAACTTTGATAGCTTGAAACTCTTTAACAGAAAATGAAGTCTTCAATTTGGTTATTGAGATGATGGGACTCTTACGTAAGAACAAAGTTGTACGTTAGAGCCCAAATGAAATTTATCACATTATATTGCGAGAAGCCTAAAGAAACTGGCACAAAGCACTTCGTCTTAACACCTTTCCCTAGAAAAATGAGCCTTTGTAATAATTTTCCCTGTTAGATTAGATTATGCGTTGGAATATTACAGTCGAAGGTTTACGAATATTTCCAACTTCGATTCGTTCGCAGTTATTGTTCCTTTCATATAAGTGGATGAGCACACCTTCGATAGTTTAGAGGTGGAGCGTCAAAAGTAAAGGTTGTTTGCTTATCTGCCCCTCATAGAAATGTAGGTTGTTTATAAAAGATCAGGGAAGAAAAACAGATATTGAAAGAGAAGAAACTGCTAAAAACCGGATAAGAACGCTGCAATGAGTTTGAAATCTTTTATTTGGCGGCTTTTCAAGATGCAGGTTTCCGCCCCAGGACCAACAATGCAACACAGGGAAAAACGAGGAAAAGCTAATTCCTTTTTTGTGATTGTTTCAAAAAGAACCATGTCTCGAAGGTAGTGGTTATCAAAAAAATAAAAAGGAAAAAAACTAGCTGTAAAAACGCAAAGTTTCTTTTTTACTAACAAGGAAAGGAAGGTTGGTCGAAGTGGCCTTCTGAAATGAGATGTATACTGCCTTGTAGAGCTTGTAAAGCTGATTTCAAATCTACCTTTGCTATCTGCTGCGGGCTTCTGGGAGAGGAGTTATGAAGGTTTTTGTGAGTAAAAATCTGAATGCAAGAATAGGCTAAAATCAGTCGTAACTTTTTTTATAGGGCTTAATTGGTAGTCGGATCACTCGGTGCAACAAATATTCTTGATTCAAAAATTCGCTGCTGCCTCATTTGAACATTGGGAAAAGGTTACGACTGATTTTACCCTATTTTTTGCATTCAGATTTTTACTTACAAAAACCTTCATAACTCCTCGCCCAGAAGCCCGCAGCAGATAGCAAAGATAGATTTGGAATCAGCGTTCCAAGCAATTTAAAAGGCCACTTCGACCAACCTTCCTTCCCTTGTAAGTCGAACTGCATGTCAACGCCAAATATAGTTTTTGATGCGTCCTTTGAACTTTTACCCCCGCATTGACGTTCCTGTTCCTGCCACGTTGTCTGGATTGTTGTGCTTATTATTCTGAACAAAAAGTAATTGCCCAAGCTGGACGAAACTGCTGCGAAAACACTGAAGGAGGAGAAGGTAGAGGAAAACGCACTTTTTACAGAATTTACGAAGAAAAAAATCCATTATAATCGAAGAAGTAAGCTCTGAGAGGTTGTCTACAATATTAACGAAAGCAAGATCTATCGAATGCAGGAAAAACAAACGTGAAAAGAGATGAACTAGAAAAAAATAAAGGATTTTCAAAAACATGAATATTGCCAGATTCTTCCTTTCAAATCAAAAATGAGGTTTTTGGGACGTTGTGAGCGTGAAAGTAGAGGTCAAGAGATTCAATATGATACAAAGTTTGCTAGAATTGAGTTTAGGCCAACGAAGAAAAGAGTACCAGAGCCAAATGTCCGTGCCCCGCGTTTGGGGTAGCGAGGTAGCGCGCAACGAGCGGAGACGCAGACGAATAGCGGAGACTGACCAGCAGAGGTGCGATAGTGGGAGCCGATTCTCCCCCTACCTTCACTTTTGAGCTGGTACAGGGTGACCACCTTCACTTTTGGAATAAAAATTTTTTCGCTGGACGATAAAGAAGGAAAATAAGCAAAACAAACGCAAAAGAGATTATTGAAAGCATATATTTATGTATACGACGGCATATATATTTAAAATAAACATGTTCAGTAAATGGTGTATTTGGAAGTAAAAGTCAGCGAGACTGTACGGATTTTATTAAGTAAATTTTGTCAAAACGCACTGCGAAGAAAGTAGATCGGTCCAGGCAGTAACGGCGAGAACCAGAATTTGTATATTTAAATAGTGAAAAATCATGCGAAATTTCCACTGTTGTAAATCTGTTGTTTGAAGATGTCAGCAGTTGCGACTTCATAGGTTTTGAAGAGTAAATGGTAAGTTTGTTCGAAAAAATCATGCGAGGGAAATCTTCGAGGAAAAATATAGGAACGGCACATATGATGTCTGATATGGCGTGCAATTTGTGTGAGTTGGAGATCCGTAGGATCTTTCTGGGCGGCGCCGCGTTATGGAGCAAAGCTACCCCGCATTTGCCTTTGGTATATCCTGAGGGCCCTTTGCGTTGCGTCGCTCCTAATTGCAGTCGCACAGAAGCTAGCGCTACCGACCGAATTGAGCCATTTTCCTCATTCTTCATAGATAAAGAGATCAAAATGTGAATGATAAACGCATTTCAAGGGCAAATACAGAATATGAGGAGGAAAAGTCTGCAAAGCAAGCCAAGAGAGAGTAAAAGATGAGTAAATTAATTTCTCTTGAAAACTCATGACGGAAAATTTCTATCCTTTTTCTCTACTAATTCTCGTGTTCTACTTCTCTTAGACATTTTTAAATCAAATCAAGCATTGCATCATCCCAGATTCAGCCTTTGATTCATCCCTAGAATTTATTTTTTGATTTTCCAAATTGCCGTCTTCTTTGTTTTCCTTATTACATCACAGTTTCAACATATCAGGTCGTGGTAATAAGGGATGGCTCAATCCGCTAGCAGGAGCAGCGCTACTCCTGCGCAATTAAAAGTGACGCAACGCAAAGGGCCCTCAGGATATACCGCAGGGGAACGCGGCCTAGCTTTGCTCCATAACGCCTGCCCCCCATCTTTCTGGAGAGAGATATGAATTTTGCCCTTTGTTTGAGCCTTCAGTACGACTCAGATTCGGGATGCAAACTTACGGTGAGTCGAAGCTGATGCGAACTTTTGCATACCATCCTGTAGAGAGCTTGCTTTGGTCTATCTAATGGTACCCCTAACGGATGTACATGCATTAAGTTTCGAGAAATAGCAGTTCTAGTCTGAAAATGTCCGAAAACTTTTGAGCCAACCTAATGATTTTGAGTAAATAAGCTATATAACCATCTGTTTGCGGGGAACACAGATCTGATACAGGGCAAAGTTTGAAAAGTGAGTGCATTAATTTTTTTGGTTTCTAACCATCAGAAAAATGTTCAAAAAATATTGTTTCGCGGGATATAACAAACTTGTTATAGGAAATCAGAAAAAGCATTTTTGCATTCTAGCCAATATTCTCCTCAATTTTTCAGCATGGAGTTACATCAAGTGTTTATTCAGGTCTGTCTAATTTGAGAAGTGAATGCTGAGCAAACTGAAAATTCGTCGGAATTTTTTAAAAATTTTTTGAAAGATCTTCGGCATGATTGAATAGCCTTGAACTGCCTTCATCACCGAATATTAACACACCATTTTGTGAAGTTTGCTTTCTCTATCAAACTTTCCTGTTATTTTTTTGTGTTTACCCTACCCCGGTGATGGGAGCTTTTGTTTCAACAGGATACTTTTTTCATTTCACTTCAGTCGACTTTTCTCAATCTCCATTCCTTGTCTTTCATTCACTTCCAAGAGATTTTAGTGAAGTTTTATCTGCAGCAAGAAGATTATCAGAGTAAAAGTCGGTAAAAACTGCTTATAGGTGTAGGCGCTCTTGCTGCTTGATGTTGACATATTCAGGTTTGGCATGTGTATGATTGTAGATAAACATGTTATATTGCAAATCACAGGTTTACAGTAATCAAGTTGACCTGAATTAGGATCATTTGATCTTATTCATTCAAAAAGTACGTACAACAACTTGCTCAAGCACGAAAAATCTACTGCACTTAAGAAAATAAACATGTATCAACTCTGAGAATATCCTTTTAGAAAGTGAACAATAAGTGACTCGCAAAGTAGCAATGCACGTGAATGAGCTTCGACTGATCTATTGCATCTAAAAGTATCACAGCGAATTCACACAGAAATTCTGAGCAGTAGTATCAATTAAACAATACTAAAATTAGAAAGAGAAAGTGATGCATGAGATAAGACATTGACATGATCTCTTACATTGGAATGGTCACGAATATAACAGTATAAGCATCCGCAAACCAATTACAAGATAAAAGTTCTGTTTAGAAAACCCATTCCAAAGTAGGCAAAAATGGGAAAAGAACATAAAAGCGTTTTAGTAAAATAGTCATTTGAAATCCTGATTAGCGAGCGGGAATCCACCACACTTCCCCACTTAACTAAGTTGAAGAATTCTCTATTTTATTAGTCGGCAACAGTGGCTGGCTCATTGCCAGGTGCTTCATTTGTCACATCCACATGCTTCCGACGATAATTGAGGATAGCGTTCAGTTCCGCATTCGTGTATGTTTTGTACTGAAATGACTTATATTCCTCGCTTTGAAAAAATCAACATACCATCTAAACTACTTCTATATGTTTCTACTGTGAGTTCAAAGAAGTTAGAGATACCCATCTTATTATCGAGTTGATTAGTCAGGGACTCGGATGCAAACTTATGACAAGGACTTCAAATTTGCTATCTAAAATACCATTTATCAAAAATCGCTCTTCCACTTTCTTTTCTTCCACTCACAACAGACTCATGCCCATGAAGAAAAGCATAGACTGAAGGAGTTACAGATTCTAATTACAAACTAATAGATCAAAACAATGCCCAAAGCAGTTTTACTTTAAAAGGTAGAAGTTGGCAGAGTGCCTAAGCGAGCTATTTGCCTCATATGGTTGTTCCCGCTTTTATTAAAAGCAAAGCTTAAGTGGCTTCAATAGTACTTACTGGAACAAGTAGCTCACTCCGTCATCATCCCAGCTCAACACGGCGTTTTGCACCCTAAGAGCGCACCCTTAAAGGCAGCGTACACCCAAATTTCACCCTCGATGTTTTTGTCATTCTGGGGCCTTTTCGTGCCGCTGATTAGAGTTATGTCATTGAAATCCTCCAAAAGTCCCAAAATGCCCCGATTTCCGGGACCCTCTCTCAGGGCGGACGAGTTTCGAACTGCTCGACACCGTCGGCATGCCAGCAGCTGCAACAGCATGACAGCCTGCAGTTGCAACTGCAACTGCTGCATATGCTGTCGTGGTTCGTCGCCCGAAGGGGCGCACCGCAAAAAGCAACAGCACTGTTGCAGCTGCAGTTGCAGATGCAACAGCACTGCAGCAGCAACTGCAACGGCAACTGAAGCTTACGCTGTCTTGGATTCGTCCGGAGGAGGCGGAGTGGAAGAAAAGGGGCGGGGTGAAAGAAAATTGAGGGGAGTTTTCTCCGCTCAGAAGCAACATTGGGAGACCGGACCAACACAGTTGGTCTTTTTCTGGGCCCAGTATATACACGGTATAGAAAGATCTAGGAAATTCGGTAACTTAGATTTTGGGTGTACGCTGCCTTTAACCCTCTGTCATGCAACACAGAAAATTAGTAACAAAATAAATCTTCAAGTTGCCAAAAAGACAGCGCTAATGCGGACAGATATAATTCAAGATCCGAAACGCCAGACGCCAGTGTTAATTGAGAAGAAAGAAATATTATGACTGAAGCAGAGGTTTGTAGGTAGGCAACCACTCAGACAGTTGCCGGGGATAGGCGGCCATGCGATTTCTGGGCAAGCCTGCACCGAAAAAAAGTCCTCTGATTTCTTGCCGTCCGCTTGCAAATTTTCAAAAGAATGTTGAACGATTTTTGGACGAAAGCTCAGAGAACAGTCGCGCTTTCATAAATTAGCGACGGCGCAGCAGCCGCATTTTCGCGGACTTTCCGCGAAAATATGCAAAACTTTCGAGGGTCAGGGTCCTTTGTGAAGGACCGCACAGCCCACAGGCATCTTCCGCTGAGAGAAAGTACCTCAAACTCGGGTAATTAAGCCATCGATGACGTCCATGCCTATTGAGTCTTACCTTTGCTTAGCGTACGCCCGAAACTGCTTAAAAAGAGTTCGAGCGCTTGCTGAAAGTTTAGCCAGCGCTCGCTGAAAGAAACTATTTGACGAGCACCCGCAAAAAACTCTGCATCGCGTCCCGCTGGTAGAACATGCCACAGTAATGGAAGTACCGCCCGCTGGAGGTTTGGCCACGCCCCAAAATTCTGCTGACCGCCTGCAAAAAAGGGAGAGTTTGCGGACCGCCTGCCCCCGGCTATTATCTGAGAGTGAGACCCTGTGTGCCAGAGGTGTCATCGATGGTTTAATTACCCGAGTTTGGGGTAATTTCTTCCAACAGAAGGTAGCCACGGGCTGTGCGGTTCTTCACAAAGGACCGTGCGGCTCTCAACATTTGCATATTCTCGCGGAAAGTCCGCCACTGCGCCGCAACTAATCTATAGAGAGACCGCGATTGTTCTTCGAGCATTCGTCTGAGAATTGGCCAACATTCTCTCAAATTTCTGCGAGCGGACCGCAAGAAATCAGCGGACTATTCTCCGGTGTCCGCTTGCCCATAAATCGCATGGCCGCCTGCCCCGACGATTATCTGTGTTGCCAAAGTAAAATGTGAAGCAAAGATTGTGTCCAAATATAGTAATGAAGTACAAAACAAGTTTATACTACTACACAAAAATGCATTGGAAACTCTCATTCATATAGTGGTCTTAACAAACAGATTTTAACATCTTTACAGGCGCTGGCGAAGTTCAGCCTTTCCAGGAAAAATAGAGAGAAACCCAAACAAAAATCAAAAGTGCTTTACAAAATTTCCCCGTTTTTGTCAAGAATCACAGAATGGGGTGGTTTGTCGTAAGCTTTGATGCCGAGAAGGAGGTGCGCAAGTTAGTAGCTTTGCAACAAGAATTGTGTAAAGTGGTCGAGTTTCATGAAAAGCTGTATTCTTATGCAGTCGAATATAATCGTCAGTAAATTAAGTGTCTTGGTGGTGTCGAGACTTTGCGGTACAAGTTGCGCTTGAACAAATAGGTACCCAAATGCCGGCAATACAGGTTCGTGCAAGCCCGAATTTCACCGCGAAATTTCGGCATCACAAGGGCGCTATTTCGACAAACTTGCTCGACTGTACATTTAACGGACTATCAATCAGAACGTATATTTTTCAGAAAAAAAAAGACTCACATTACTTTGCTTCTTCTGAACAAGCAGTTGACTATAAAGGCGACTTCCTTCCTCTTTTCCACATGCCTTCATTAAACTGCTCTTATTCAACGCGAACAGATTTGCACCATCTTGTCCTTCGAGCAACTCAATCACCCTGCATGCTACTACGATTATTTCTGCGTATGTTTGTTTTGCACCACTTGCCTCATACTAAAACCTTTCTCTTGCAGCCATGTCGACACGTCGCCAGGCGTCGAGTTTTCATTGAGAAACACTGTACATGGGGGCTGTTCTTTCTTTTTGATTACTCTCCCCTGTGTTTTCCCAACTGTTTCTAACAGTTCACTAACCACCGCCTCAGTCTCTGCAGTAAAAGTATTGCTGATGCTCACCTAATAAGAATCAAATTTACCTGGAGTTCTTCTAGCTACAGCGATACGTGGTTTACGTTGTACAGCGTTCTCAGGCTCCTGAGGCTAAAATCATGCATGAGTCTTAGCAAGAACGCGCCTCTCAATAAAGAGTGCAGAATGCACTAGTAGAAGCATGATTTAGAATTTTCGAAAATTGTTATGACCAGTCATTATGTAAGCGCTTGCCGAAAATTTCCTGTGTATCAATTTAAGAGGTACAATACATCTACTCTCTCGTGTATATACAGTTTCCTGTCATTATTATCGAAGCCAAGAGGTACTTATATGGCCTAACCTCAACCTTTCTTGCAAATTGGCGGATCAAAAACGAGCTGGGTTGGTGACTGGATACCACAAATTTTTGCTGTTCATATGCAAAGGGAAAAGCAAGATTACGACAAAAGTGAAGGCTTGCCTCTTTGACAACTGCAAGCATGCAAGTATCAAAGAGGAACTTTTTATTCAGCAACTTATTTGATGCTTTAGGTAGTTCTACCACTAAATTGTAATTAGACTATAAAGTTGAGCTCTGCTACATTGAGTAGTCTAACAAAGGTAGTCTGCTCAGATTCCTAAGGCAAATTATGCTCTTATCCCGACAGCTTCTTTTGTCAGCCAAAATCTCAAAAATATGTAATGTAAAACGTTGGTTGCACTTTTATAATGACATACTGCAGTCAATAACACTGTCACGAATTTCCAACCCACCATATAATCTTCAACGGAGCCCTGCGAGATAGTCTCAGCCGCAGAAGCTGGTCTGTTAAACGTTTCTGACCTCATTTCAGTCCTTGTGGTGGCTCGTGAATCCGACTAAAAACTAAGCGTGTAACGCTTTTCTTAAGATAACATACTTACTGGTGCGTAAGGACCAGAGACAAGTTGAACGTTGGCTTGTACTCCAGCTTCGTAGGTTTTGGTAGGTACTGCAGGCTCGTATGTAGGCTCCTCTGTAATACAAAGATCGAGGCAAACTTCTTTGGGTCATTTCGTCATTTGAATTCAGTTGTTCAGCCACGATCGTTATTACATCTATTCAAGCTAAGTTTCATTTCTGAATTGCCCTTTTCAGAATGGGCGAAAGCAATCTACTACCAGGTCAAACATCTCCTCAGCCCTACAGCAAATTTCTGAGCTTTTTTCGACAAGCAGACTGCTCGCACTACTCACCTCTCGTTTGCAGTAAAAGTGCTGGTAGATGAACAAGCGCTTACTGACAGCTTGACCAGGACTTGAACAGAATAGATCTAGATATGGTGCGAGCTTTCGTTCTGGGAGTGAGATACCCCTTCCTTGCGATTCGGGTTAGTAAAATGAATAAAATTTTCTAGAATCATGCGAATGGGCAAAAGCAGAAGTCAAGCTTCGCGTACTAAAATCTCTATTTTTATATCAAAATCAACTCCTTGATGATTCTGCACTCTGAGGGCACACAATGGAGTGCATGCGCATGTCACCAAGATGTTCTTTGATACGTATGCTTAAAGGCCGTGCCGTTTCTCCTATTTTTCGATACATGCGAGAACCCTAGATCAGACCTTCCATCTTTCAAAGACGTATTTGTTTCTTTGCTCAAGCGTTGTCAGTAAGCGCTGGTTCATTTACAAGGTTCTATCGGCGAAAGAAAAGCTTTGCGCATAGCAGTCTGCTAGTGATAAATGAAAGTCGAATTTTGCTTGTAGGACAAAGGAGACATCCGATCGAGTAGTTCGTAAATTCGCCCATACCGGGCGCAAACGAATTGAGACTAAAACGTTAGCCTAAATAACTACGACCTCTGCCGTGGCTAAACAATTCAATCAATGCCGTATGTGCCGGGATTTATAGAAAGTCGAAGTTTTCGATTAGTCTATCATGGTAGATAGCTCAAATCTCAGGGCAGATGAGATGACTAAGCGAGCGAAGATATTACCATGCATTGGTTATTCTCGCGCCTTCATATAGAACGATGCAACTAATGTGCACTTGGAAAAGGAGTTCGCAAGCCGCGCAGCGTCCTTGCTGATTTTATGAAGATTTTACAGAATGTTTAACTGATTTGATTGAAGAAAATTTTCCGCTGTTAGTCTGCTCTTCAAGATAGCTATAATATAATCAGAGTGGAGCTAAAGGTGCATCATACGACAGCTAGATACGATTCCAATCTCCTTATCCTCCTTTTTTGATACGAGCTAATCTCTAGAAACAAGTAGGAGAATAAATCCAGTGCTACAGGCTGGATAGTGCCATCAATGAAAGCACATATGAAAAAGGTCCATGAAGCAAAATGTTAAAATCCGTGAGAATCTTCTTCCCTTGAAGGCAGCAGCTCGCCAAAATCGAACTTCCCGACCAGGGTCAAGCAAGGGGTGTGGCACACGATCGCTGGTTAGGACCCCCCCCCCCTCCCTGACTGCTGTCTTAATAAGACCCTCCTCCCTGAATTTTATATCTGAGATAGCATTACTTGAAGACCTTGTCAAACATGATGGGCAACATATCCGTAATGAGCATGTCAATTAAGCCCTGTAGACGAAGTTTGAGTGAATTCTGAAGATTCAAGATACTAGGCTACCTAAGTGAAATGGTCATATTCAGGGTCGAGTAAAAGATGTAGCACACAATCGCCGGATACGACCCCCCTCCTCTTCCCACAACATTTTCATTTGCCTGCCGTAGGCATCACATAAAGACTCTACCAAACATAACTAGTAATATAATCATAATTATCAAGTCAAATAGCCTCTGTGGGCCAAGTTTTAGCGAATTATGAAGGTTCTCAATATTGTCAATATTGGATTACTTGAATGAAATGGCCCTTTTCAAACATGGTTAACTATATTTCAAAAGTGATTTAGCTACCCCTTTACATACTCAATACAAAGCACTACTCGACAAACCATGAATCCTGCTTCAAATAACCACCAAATAACCATCAAACTATGGAATTGGGAGCTAGCCAAAATCTCGCTTGTCTCATTTTCCGCTCGCAGTGATTGTGCTTCAGCAACTATTGCTCAAACGAAAGAAGACGAATTCAGTGAGCACTTCAACGGAAACTATGAGAATTTGGCTATTGAACTGCATATAACTTGTTCCCTAATATTTTCTTTGGAGATAAGTTAATGGGGTGCGGCACATCACACACCATCATGCCACACCGGTTAACTTACTTGGTACCATTCAAATACTTGCATTTTTCATATCGTTGCTACTGCTTAAATCTTCTTTATACTTCGGGATTTTCATTCGAAATCGTTTTTAGGAAAAAAAATAATCATTTTTCCTTACCGATGCAAATGGAAAATACCGCGAAAATATTGGGTTACGGTAACATGCTATGACTGCGATGCTATGTAAATCGCGAGCGAAGGCGACAAGAATGTACATATTCAATAGTCTGAGACTCGTAACTTACACTAAAGTGATTTGAGCTTGATTGGTTTTCTCTAGTCTGAGATATTAAAAGCGAAAATGGAATAAACGAGATTTTGGCTTGCTCTCGATTCCTTTAATTGGAGGTTAATTAAAAATAGGGTTCCTAAAGTGAGCAAAAAAGTGGTGATTATTGGCTATTCGGTTATTTTGCATGATGGGAGTACCTGACATTATTAACGAATACCATGTTATCACTAGCAACAGAATCATTTTGCTAACGACCCTGCCCCCTCTCCCTGACCTCTCAATACGACCCTTCAAGTGCGGCGTGCCACACCCCACATATTGACCCTGGTTACAATTCTTTAATGCATATAAGAGCTGCATAACAAATCAGGTTCATTTCTATGAATACCCAGCAGTCCTTCGAGTGGATAATGATCGGAAGGCCAATAACATTATGTAGTTCCTGATACCTTTCAAGATGGCCAGTGCAAGTCTCTGCGAAGCAGAGGTAAAGCACTGGTAATCACATAACCGCTATTTGCATCCGGCTAAAATCTCGTTTGTTTTTTCGCTTTTCGCAATTGTCTCAATTCCGGCAACTATTTATTAAATTGAAGGAGACGAATCAGCTTAAATTACTTTGATAAAATATGAGATTAAGGCCGTCGACTCATTATATTTGCTGCCATCTCTCGCAATGTACTTAGTAGCGCAAACTTGGCATGCTACCGCCTTTTATCATAAATCAAATGAAAAACAGCATAACATCTTTTAGAAGAGATGATTTCGGATGACAAGCAAGCCGCATGGCCGCACCACTGTTCATCGTGGAATGGTAACTGTCCACCAATTCTTTTAGTTAGCAGCAGCACAGCGGAAGGTGCTTTTCTTGCGAAATTTTTTGATGTTTCAGGCTGGTCGAATTCAGAAAAAACAGATGCTTCTTGTACTTGTGAAATTAGGAAAAATGTTTGACTGTTCTGAAGGTAAGCTAAAGGTGTAAGGCCAAAAAAGTGGGCAGCCACAGGACAGACAAGATTTTGGCTAGTCCCTCATTCCATGATGCGGAGGTTATTTGAAGTTGGACTCTTAATTAAGCAAAAGTATAATGCTTTGTGGTGAGCACAAAAAAATAGGTAATCTATATAACTAAGTTTCATGTTTGTAATTGTCCGCCCCCTTGTGTGACTTGATATTTGTAGATTTCAGAATTATCAATACACGGGAACTAATTTGGCATATGCTATTTAGGAATATGTTACTAATTATGCTTGCAAGGATATTCAACTTATGACCGCCTAGGGGGCAAACGATAATGCAAAAAGAGAGACATGACAATTCGTTGAGACAAATCGGTGGGGGAGGACGCGTGTTATCCAGCAGTCGTGTGCCACACCTCTTGCTCTCTTCTATGCATAACCACGGTATTTACTGTGTGCGAGGTAGATGATGTAAACTGCGACTAAGCTTGTGCGAGTGAACACAGCTTATGCTCAATAACATGATGAACATCCGATTTATTTGGTGGAACTGACACTATGTAAAACTCTGTCGTCGTATAGCTGTCATAAGAGCATATTGTAGCTCCAGAAACAGAGAGCAAACCCGACATTTCTCTTGAAGAGAAGACAGAGTTGTCAATACGACCTTTCAAATTTCCGCACCTATTGCTCCAACCACTACATTAAACCTTGTCATGCAGAGTGTATCGCACAAGTTGGCAAAATTTTAGTTACCCTAATTTCACACGTATAAAGCGGACTTTTTCAAGGTGAGGATCCGCAGTAATCCCTTTTTAGATGAGTTTAGGGTCCGCAGTAATCCCCTCCAGGTGGGTGTAGTGGCGGAGGTGTTCGATATAAAGCACGTACTCCGTCCTCCTCGGTCGCTATTCATTCTACGGCTATTCCTCATCACGGCAGCCTGGTAAAATCGCGAACTTGACCCTAAGACGTGTTCGTCCTCGTGAACTCAGCATGACTCCAGTCATATGCTGTTTAGACGAAGAAATTGGTGCACTCAACGAAAGACGCATAAGACGCATGCGACTACGACTAGAGCACTTCAAGCCCGTCCGATGCGCAGAGATTCTAGGCACAATCACTAGGTTTAACGCGCGCCAACGGCGAATATGAACACCTAGTCAGCGCAATAGACAACAGTTTAATTTGTCTGAGATATCCTTCTGCTGTTTTTTGCTTGCATGCAAAAAAGTTAGTTTTATTATTATTAATATTATCATTGTAGGTTGCCCCAAAAGTAAACTCCATTTCCAAGTAAATTGAGCTGTTTTTGTTTTCCTAACAGACTTAGGGTACCATTCGATAAAGCTCTACAAAAAGATCACCAAAGACCATCTAAGACGTGATCCATGTAAAGCCAAAAATCAGAATTTTTCAGCACCCCAAAAACCGGAGTTTCTTCCAGAAAATTCCCACGGACTTCCAACTTGGTCTTTATAAGTAAACAATTAGTAGTACCCAAATGTATTTAGTGGATTCTTTCTGGATCTCAAAATCGAGAAACAAGGATGGTCCAAAAATGCCAAAATGACACTTTTTTGGGTTTTTCTTGTAGAACTTGGTATTGCTCGATCATAAAAGCACATATAAGGTAAATTTTGAGATTATACTTAGTAAGACTTTTAGTTTACAATGACATATGTTGGAAAGGCTGTGGCGGAGTTTGCCATTTTTGGACAAACGTTTTTCTCGCTTTCTATGCGCTGAAAAAATCCGGTAAAGCCATGTTTGAGCACTACTATGTGCCTACTGTATTATGACCACGTTGGAGGTCCGTAAGATTTTTTCTCGTGAAAGTCCAAATTTCAGGTGACAAAATTTCTTCGCTTTCGACTTCAAAGTATAAGTGGAATGCGACTTAGGCGGATCCTTGGTGGCGTGTTTTTTTGTAGAACTTGATCTGCTCTATCGGACCATATCCTAAGGCTGCATTTATACTGATCTGGAAGTCCGGGAACAGTTCTAACACAGCGCTCGAACTAAGTGCTGTGCTAAAACTGTTTTCGGACTTCGGGATCGGTATGAACGCAGCCTAAGTCTACTAGAAAAACAAAAACAGCTTGAGTTATTAAAAAAGCGGGTTTACTTTTGGGACAACTAATATTATAGGTCTTGAAATCTTGCTCAGACAATTTTTATGGTTTTTTAGCGTTAGCTTTGCTACTCATTGATTCAGCTCAGATGCTCACAGGTTTTGCATGCCTAAAATTTGTTGCTCATGATTTATGCTGTTTTATCATAACTCTTTTGTAGTTCACTGGCTGTGCATATGTTTTCCCATTTGAATGAGGACATCATCTGGTGTGCAGTCAACTAATTTTTCAAATAACTTCAAATTATTTTTAACATTTCAAAATTTGTATTGCTTCTCCTTCAAAATATTTGTAATGCTCTAAATTTACTAAAAATATTTTATAAACACTGTTCTTTCTGATTTCTGATTACTACTACGCAAGAAAAAATTGCTTCAAAAGGAATTGTTTCTGCGCCTTCTAGCTTAGCACGTTTGGCAGTTCCGCTAGCTACTCGTTAAGGACTTGTGATTGTGATCCCTCATACCGAACATCTCATATCGGAGATAGTGCTTACGAGGAAATGGTCAGAACTTAACCCAGCCATTCCAAAAAGGCTGTACTCATCGGACTCGTCTCGAAACGCTAATTCCAGATATACGTTTTTTATCTGCCAAGCGATATCTGGGAAGAGTTATGAGCGTAAAAATATAAGAAATTGTTTGAGTTTTGATGTATATTTTCTTGAAAAGCAGCCTGATGGCGCGGGTTTACAGTGGCTATGGCTGTTTTGATTACAAAGAGGAAGTATATTCACCAACCTGAATGAGTGTTTTTTGAAACCTATTTCGTCGAACATGGACCACAGACCACCTGACAAATTGCACATTCAAACACTCAAAACTCATTCCAGATAGCCGTTTGGCAGACAATAAACATATATTTGTGATCAGCGATTCAAGATAAGTGATGATATAGAGCATGTTTGATATGGCGGGTTAAGTTCTGACCATTCCTTGCTTAGCCGACAGCCGTATGCTCACAGGCGTAGTCCGACGCGAGAAAATCTGATTATTCTTAAGTTATACGAAATTAATCGCTTTCTTCTGCCTCGCTTTTTCTGTTACTACTTTGGTCAGTCGTTGTCAATGGTTGCTTTTATAAGTGTTTGACGACCTGTGGGAGCGCAAACTTTGCGTCACGAAGGCTTGCCACGTGCAGTCTGCCCAGTCCCAGTGAGGTCAAAATTGGCATGGCGGGAGTCCGCGTCGCTAGGGTTTTGCGTCACGCCTAACGCCTGCTTACCTGGTCTTTCTCTCTTTGATCCCTTCGCTCTCTTCGGCCGCGGCACGCAAATTTAGATAACGGTTCGGCCTGATCTTAACTGGGCAGACTGTACTAGTCGGACTGTCATGACAGTGCTTTCTTTAGGTTGGGATAGACTCCGCGGCGTACGCCACATATGCAGCGTACGTCTCATATCTTTATGCATGTGTGCGTACGCCGCGCACTCCGCGCAGTGTGGCCCAACTCTTTGCATGGCGGGAAGTTTCGGGAGATCACTATTTGCCCAGCATTTCAGACTTGTCTTTGATCTTATCATAAAAAACTACAAAACCACTTTTGATTTACGCTTTTCCAAATCTTTTGCGATTATGACGTGTTTTGTTACTTACTCATGATTTGGTTGCATGCCAGACACCAGATACGTCGTAAGAAATGACAAAGAAAAATAGCATTACCTAAGAAAAACTTGCTGCCTAAATGCTTTAGTGCAATTGTGGAATCAAAAAATATACGAGACTCATATTTGTAGCGCGATATGTTGAATTACAGATCTTCACCAATAAAGTGCTTTACACATATAATTTTGCTTGAGAGCTTTATGATGTGGACAAAAAAAATGAGGCAAATGGACAAGATCTACTTTTACTGCTAACTTCTTTATGGAAAAACGGCCTTTGTTAATCCGACCGCACCTTTGGCATTTTTTGACATTTCTCTCACCTTTGGCTGCTGTAACTACGTCACTTATTTAAGTCCCCTCCGACATCGTCAGTACTAATGCAGACGATATGTGGCCAACATCTTTGTATACAAACAATTCATTCACTCTATCTGAAACATGAATGAAAAAGGCACTATGTCAAGAGAATATAAATTGAGCGAATAATGCAACAAGAGGATTTTGAAAGAGAGATAAATCTAAAAGAAAAGCTCAGAATCACTAAATATATATACTTATAACAATCATCTGTAGTTATGTACGAAAAAAATCATTTATCTGTTGGAAAAGAGCGACTGCGGGGATCATTCAATGGTGCTTCTGGGGAATGGCTTTAGTGGCAGACTGTCATGCTACGCTCAGTCCTGAGTGCACAAGGACATTGGGCTGTTAGAGCGTTAGGAGTTGATGAGAGGACGAACAGTGTTAGTGAGTGAAGTGTAGTGTATGAGAAGGAATGGTTGGTGACCATAACATGTATGATTAGTACTGACGATGCGGTGTTATGCGAAGTGGGCGAACATGCAAGCCCCAGCCATGCAACAGCCCTAGAGCAAACCTCCAGCCCGCTCTAGACCTCTCCGAATTGACGAAGACTTTGACATAAGGACGGCTCACGCCACATAGAAGAGACTCTGAGCATCTTGGAAGCCTGAGCGGCGGCGCAGCGACCAACAGTTAGCGGAAGCAGCCGACTGTTAGTACACAGAAGCAATAGGGCGGAATGCAGCCGCTTTCGGCTATTCACAAATCCAATCGCTATATATCACAGAGAAATGCTTCCAGAAAATACGGCCGAGTGCACAAGATTTAGAAATATCGGAACTCGCCGCGCCTGCCCTGGCGTTCTTTTACGTAAGGAGGAGCATCGTCCGGCAGCATACCTTGCTTCGAACTGCTTCCTTGCACGTGACCATTTGGAATCGACTGCTGATCACGCATTGCCATCTGGAAAGAGTAGAGCAATAATACTTCCTTTACGTCTATTTTTACCACATTAATTGCAGGCCGATTCTCAACTTGAGAGCAAATGACGAAAACCGTTGTGCAAGCAAATTTTTTGTAATCTATTCTCCATTGACAATTGATCGCGTTTGAATTCATATAAGGTTTGAACGAATATTGTAACACTGGCGTCTGTAAATCTTTTCGTGAACGTTCCCACATTGCCGAAAGTCATCAAAAGATAGGAAAGCTGGTGCACACAATAGGAAAAGTAAGACAGAAAGAATTCGCAGATTTCAAACAAATTTTATTTATTTCCATGAAGCTCAATATGAGCTGTTTACAATAAAACTTTTCTGAAACAGATTCTCATAAAATTTAGTGTGTGCAGAATAATACTTTGCGAAGTCCAAGCAGAGTGAAAAACAAAGAATGTACAGTACGTGCAGTACATTCAAAGAAAAATCTAGTCAATGTAGAATCTTAGATAAAGCTAATCAATTATGGAACACATGATCCTTATGAAGATTCTGGAAAATATACTTCTTCCTGTTTGAGTGTACGAGGTGGGATCTGACTCGCTTTTATTTCGCCCTCTATGTGAGGGTACCAAGAATACTCGCTCTATAAGAAACAACAGTAGTGGGCATGGTAAGTGTATGGTGAAGTGTACAAAGGACTTTGGGCACCATCAAAATTTCATCACCACGGAAAAATGTGGATTTGTGAATGAAGGCGCAATAGTAGGAGCAGTCATGTCAAATATGGCAGGACTAAGATTTGTGATTTGCACGTCACTTCACTGAGAGCTCAATCCCAAATATCCTAAGTATCCGGGTCAGATCTCTGAAGAGTGGCAGTTTTGGAAATACCATCATTTTTAGTTCACAGAGCCCATTTGTACTCCCCTTACTAACCGAGGGAAGAGATCTTTAGGAAAATGACTAGTGCGATTCTTTTGTGGTTTTTTACTGATTCGGTCTGAAGCAGGATTGCGCCACTACTAAAATCATAAGTACTGTAAAAGAGGATCGAAAGGGATGCAAGGCCATCACGGCAATATATGTATTATTCATAAAAAAAGTCGGAAAGTTATGGCACATAAGCCCCCTTTCAGCTTAGTTAAATATGAGTGTCGCGTGGCACGGCTTAGATCCTCACGAGCCGCCTCGCTTGAGCCACTCGAGGCGTTCGCGAGCGTCTCTCGCGGCATCCCAAGTTCGTCAGTCGTTGATGCCCAAGTCCGATATTCTACTCCTTAGGCATAGGAAAATACCTTATCAGCTGAAGGAGAAGGCGGCGAGATACCCCAAGCTAAGCGACTCGCGAGAGCCTTTGCCACGGTGACCGCGAACCTAGATTGGGACCCCCTGTTTGTTCGCTCAGACGACAAATTGTTTTAAGACTTCACGACCAAAATTTTTAGCTCGCTGCATAACTAATAAACCGTTTTTCTTGTCCTTGTTTTAAGACAACTCTTTCCCATCAAACCTTCTTATTTGGAAAGGGCTTAACCTTAAGCTCTTTTTATGCTCTATGATAGGTAAGATGGGCTTTCAACCTCATATAATTTACTGACTTCTTTTGCCAGAACTTGAACGCGAATCGAATTGGATGGTTTGTGTTCAGAAACGCCGGCAGCCAGATTGTTGAGCAAAAGTTTTGCATGGACATGAATTCGAGTGCTGAGCAGATTACAGGCTACTTCTTGCGGCGAACCGCTAGGTCCTTCAATCGCTTCTTGATACACTCACGTTTGTGTTTATTTTAAAGAAAATGAAAGCTTATCATGTTCCAACCAAACATTTTCCCAAAGTCATGTAACCGGTGCGGTAAAGCTCATTTCAGTCTCAGAATCACAGGATGCGGTGAATAGGAGTGGAGTGCCCGAGGTAAATCGTCCATAACATGGAAGGGGAGGGGGGAAGGAGGTCCGGCAGTTCAGCAATCACGTTGGCGTTCAAAAGAGCTACCCCATCGTGAACGATGGCCCGGACTGGACCGGCAAAGCTAGCTAATGGTTTATATTCGCACCTTACTCACATGAATTGCTTGATTACATTTACCCGAATATTTCGTGAGTGCCATGAGTACCATGCCTCTGCAGCGTAAAAACGTATTCTCCATAGCCTCACTATCTCATCCAAAACAAATATAACAACAAACTTACGTAAGTGTCTCGCATATCTGGCTGATCCAAAGGAACCACTGAAAGGATTGTGTGAGGTACGTAGCCAACCCGTTGGTGCACATTGCGGCATTCCCACCAGTTCTTAGCATCGTCCAGCACCTAAGCTTCAACAATGAGAGATGAACATCAGGTGATTTTAATTTACCTCGAGATATTCTCCGCGACTAACAGTCAACTCCTTAGCATTTTGAGCGACTCTATCGAAAGTGGCCATCACCAACTTGCTGCCTCTTCCTATCGCGTCTTCTACGAATGCTCTGAAATTGAAATTAAAGGACTGATTTCTTGCATCTACAAAACCATAATGAAACTAAAAATCTTGTTCCATCCCTTCTCGAGCTATATTCGAACCTTTCCGAAATTTTTTGATAAGGAAAAACGCCTAGAATGTTCTGTAAAAATTTATGAAAAAAATTGCAGAACTCCTATATTTTCGTGGAGAAGACCCAGCATGTTTTGCAAAAAAAAATTTGATGAGATTGCAAAAGTCATATATGGTGAATTCATTCTTTCTTTTGTACTGTAAATTGAAGGCGGTGTCCGGACAGATTTGAGAGCAACTCTCCAACAGATTAATAAAGCGTCCTCGCCCAAGCCGTAACCCAATGCCGACTGCAAAATATTGCTTCTGGAGCGAGAAGTTGGTTTCTGAATCGAACATAACCGCTCATCGAATCAGTCTCGTCCTTACGAAAGCAGAAAAGCGCCGACACACCCGCTGCAGCTAATAACAACGTAGCAGCGGCCGTGTCCAAGCACGCTTTTTACTTCGGTAAGAGACTGAATCGGGGGCGGCTATGTTCGAAGCGATTTCCTCGCTCCTGAGCAGTAATCTACCATCGCACCGAGCTGTGGCTTGCTGAAGAGTGCGCTCATCAATCTGTTGGAACTAAGGTGCTACCATATTTGCCCGACTGCCTTTCGGAATGAACTTGTCTTGAGTAGTTCGTTTTTACTGCGTGCTGTTGTAATGTTTGTTTCAGTTTCAGTAATGTTTGCTTGTCTTTATCTCTGTTTGTCTTAATTTTAGTAATGTTTGTTTGTCTGTCTGTCTGTCTGTCTGTCGGCGTGTGCATGTATGTTTCGAATAGAAAATTTTAGTTTCAACCCGGTCTGAACCAAATTTAGCACTACACTCCAGGGCGGGCGGATGTCCTAGGCTACTCTTTTTCATCGATCGATCTCGATTTCACCAAATTTCGTCGATTTTTCGACCTACGGATTGAGAGTTGACACAGGGGCGGGAAAAGTAAGCATGCCGATTACGAATACAATATTAGTTCTTAGAATTACGGTCACCTTTATCAATTTTATCGATTTTTTCGCACAGGGGCTAAATGGGCATGCTGATTTCGAAAACAAAACGGGGATAGGGAATCTGGGATGCAGAAGTGGACAACAGGGAAGTGTTGTACAGAAATAGAGATGGGACCTTCATCATGCTTTTTTGACAGGGCCGTGGAGCTGGGTATGCCAGCTACTTTATAACAGTATTTTCACACATTTGTAATCACAATTAATTGAAAGTGAATATTTTCTTTTGATTAAGCTAGTTCTGTTGATTGCTTGCCATTGAAGATTTGTAATTACATATGTTGATAGTGTGAGTGAATGAATTATCAACGATATCAGCAGCAAAAAACAGAAGAAAATCCTATTATAGACTGTAAACATTACTCGAAATCTAACCTTTGCCGAGGGGATTGATCGCCTAAGTCAGGAATTAAAACAGGGCGAAGGCCTCTTCCAGCCATTGGTGACGGCTGCGACGAAGGGCTTAAACGGTGCATAAATTGCATCTTGCAGAAAATTCATTAGAAACGTTCTTACGGTTCGTAAATGGACTTTGAACGACTGCTATTCACGGAATCAGACTCTTGTTTGATCATCTTTCGTTCTGCTTCTAACCGCGCTCGTTCAGCCCTAAAAAATTTTGCTTCGAAAAGCAGTATAAAACTGCTATTGCTTACTTGATCTTATTTTCCTCGTCAGCTAGGCGTCGCTCCCTTTCTAACATTTTCTGCCTTTCGAAATCTAGGCGCTCCCGCTCCAAAGAGAGGCGGTCCAGATCAAGCTGCAGATAAATCATTTACTACATGAACATTCTTATAAGTGTGGAGAAATAAAGGTACGAAGGACTGTTAGGGAGGACACGTGCCAAATATGCACACTTACATTGTCGACGCTCATATTCCTTTGAGGTCGTAACTTCGTTCTGCTATTCATAGGAGTGGAGGGAGCCTGTAGAATAGGACAATACAAAGGGTAGGAAAGACGATAACATCACGGAAGAAGAGGGTGAGAAACGATAGGGAGAAGAAAGGGAACAGGAAAAAAAGGGTAAGGGAAGATGTAGAACATGGGGAATAGTTTGCGAAATTTTTGACTGATTAACATGAATCATAAAAAAATATTAGGTTGTCCCGAAGGTTTTGTCCGTTTTTTCAACCTATCATAAAAATGCGTGGAACAAAGATAGGGAAACGATCTAAGCATTTTCCGACGCATCTTTTCCTCCTCTTTCTAAATGTCAAGACCATATGCCGATTACTCTTTTGCTCACTGAGATAAACGCCGAAATTTCGAACCCATGGTTTTCACTATGTCCAAGTTTGACAATTTTTCACAATCTTCATTTTCAACTTTTGGAAGACCTTTGATAGCTCCCAGATAGAGTAAGCAAAGGGCAATGCAATGCAATTATTTGGCATTCTAGCTGCCTTTTCATCATTTTAAAGATAATTTTTTCAAAAGTCTTCACTTTTGCGAAGTTCTAAAATACAGAAACGCCTCGAACATTAACAAATCATCGGATTTTGAAGCTTTCAAAAACCGATTACGATTATTCACTATTTTTACGAAGCAAATGAGGGTTTACCGCTTCGAAATATAAGATTTTGCATTTTACGTGTACACGTGGGGTGGGGTCAAATTCAAGAATTATGGAAATTTTGTCGCCAAAGACCTCGCAAATTGGAGAGAAAACACACTCACTGGAAAGAGGAGGAAAAGCTGCATTTTATAACACCTTAGTTGTGCGCCGTTTCATGATCTCTGGCTTTTGGCATCACCAAAAGTGGAATTTGATAGCATCAGAAAAATAATTCTAAAAACTTTTCAAGACTGGCTCTAGACGCCGCAAAATTGAATTATATTTGCCAAACTTTTCCAAAAGTCAAAAAAAAAGATTGCGAAAAATTGCCAAACTTGGACATAGTAAAAAAACATGGGTTCGAAATTTCGGCGTTTATCGTGAACAAAACATTATTCGGCATCGAAGCATGACAATTAGAAAGAGAAAGAAAAGTTGCGTCGGATAGTGCTTAGAGCGTTTCCCTATCTTCGTTCCACGCGTTTTTATGATAGGTTGGAAAAACGGACAAAACTTTCGGGATAACCTAATACATGTGTCTCATTTTAACTTGTGAAGTAATTAGTTTGCATGAATAGGGCCTGGCTCGCTAAAAGTGAGGCCTCAAAAATTGCAGTGGCGAAATCCAAAATTCCTGTCGCACCTTTCCTCTTCTTCTCCTCCATTTCAACAATTTGCAAGACCGCCTGCGATGAGTAAGCTTTCCTCATTTTTGAAGCAACGCACATATAAAGATCGGTATCAGAAACTATGATCAAATCCTCTCAAACTAGCCTCAATCCATACAGCGTCCAAATGATATTAGAGTCGTCAAAAACTCACGGAATTGTTAGCGTCCTTCACAACATGTTTAGGAGATAGCGAAAGTTTGCACTGACAAGGGAGGTCCGATTAGTCGAAGTGGCCTTTCCAAATGAGTCTTATACCACTTTGAAGAACATCAAACGCTGACTCCAAGTTTGATTTCATTATCTGCCGAGCGCCTCTGCATGCGGAGTTATGAATATTTTCTTGATGCGAAAAATGAACGCATAATCAAGGTAAAATCAAACTTTGCGGTCTTTTCAGCGCTCAAACAGAACAGTGTTAAATATGTGTGTTTTGGACGAAGGTATTGTTCAAATGGAGTGCTCTGATAATTAACATTGGACCATTTGAGCAATTCTGACGTGCTGAATTTTGTGCTGATTATTCATATAATTTTTCAACTATTAGGTTGGTAAGAAAGTTCTCGGACATTTTCAGAAAAGATCTGCTCTTTTTCGAAACCTAACGCATATACGTCAGACTGAGGTACCATTCGATAGAGCAAAGCAAGCTCTACAAGATGGTATGCAAAGTTTCGCACCAGCTTTGACCTACCGTAAGTTTTCGCCCAAAACCTGAGTCGTACTGAAATTCAAAAAATCGCGAAAAATTCATATCTTTGTTCAAACAAATCCTCCGGATCTCCAACTTGAACACAAAAATTGCGGACCACATCAGGCACACATATGCACCGTTCCTGTATTTTTTCCTCATCTGGAAATCGAGAAAACGAAAATTTTCATGCTTGTATAAAAACGAAGCTGTGCTGTTTCCACCAACGTAATTGAATAGTTCAAGCCTTTAGAAGTATAACCGTAGATTTTCAGCTTTCCGTAAGCTCTAGTTGTCGAGAAATGTTGATTTTAGCATGGAACGCTCGAGTGAGGAGCGCTTAAATCGCTAATTTTCGGGAACTAGGGCCTGTAGAAAGCTGAAAATTTACGGTCACACCTCTAAGGGTTTGTACTATTCAAATACATGGGTGGAAACAGCACAGCTTCGTTTTTACATAATCATGAAAATTTTCGTTTTTTCGATTTCCAGATGAGGAAAAATTACAGGAACGGTGCATATGAGTGTCTGATGTGGTGTGCAATTTTTGTGAGCAAGTTAGAGATCCAGAGGATTTGTTTGAACAAAGATATGAATTTTTCGCGATTTTTTGAATTTCAGTACGACTCAGATTTTGGGCGAAAACTTACGGTGGGTCAAAGCTGGTGCGAAACTTTGCAAACCATCTTGTAGAGCTTGCTTTGCTCTATCGATTGGTACCTCATTCTTATGTATATGCGTTAGGTTACGAGAAATAGCAGATTTTTTCTGAAAATGTCCGAGAACTTCCTTACCAACCTAATAAAAAAATGCTCATAACTCGACGTCCAGAGGCGCTCGGCAGATAACGAAGAGAGATTTGTTAGCAGCATTCGATGCTCTATATAGTCGTATCAATTTCATGTAAAAAGCCCACTTCGACCAAACGAACCTCCCTTGTGAGATTGGAACTAGTTCTTTTACGTATTAGTTGCTCAAAGTAAAATAAAGAGGAATTTCTTTGACAGGCTGAGCATATTAGCTAATTACCCGATAAGGGTGGCGGTCAAGAATAACGACAGCTCTGCCAGCCAATAGCTGCCAGCTGCTCGCGCGCGCAGAACAGACCACCTTCACTCATTCATGAAAATGAGAAAAATGATTTAACTTCAGTTTTTATTGAAATTCGTTTCCTACAACAATCAAAGAAGCTTGAATTTTACCATGCCGAATTGAGTCTAAGATATTTCTATCGCGCGTTCATGGCGATGTGATTGGTGATTATTTTCATCAAAAAATAGCAGATGCCTTAACATAAAGCATATATGAAGAAGAATAAAGCTTTGGGCATTTACTAATGTAGGGCCTGTGTGAGCTCAAATTCAAAAGCCCGTGGTAAAGTGGTTGGTTCAGGTTTCTGAAATGGGCCTGGGGTGAATCTAAACCAACATCGCCTCAGTTCAGTATCATGAGCTATTGATCTGGATGCAGATTGAGTAACAGACGTCACTTTGACGAAAAATATCGGCACCATTGGTGCAGGTCTAGTCAAATGGATAAAGCTTCGCAGTCACTAGCAGAACCATCATTCGGAACCGCCTAGTGGCACCATTTTTGCGCCTCGCCAGGCGATCTTCGATGACACCACTATCGCAGAATCGACGGTGACCGCTTTCAGAGATTTCGCCCAGCTTCATCGTATGCGCACCATGTTCGCAACATCAACTCAGAACGTAGGTTACTCTTACAGAAGTAAGGTGAGATTAGCGCGGCACCTGACCGGCCGCTCATTTGTCAGGGCACGTTGTATTCTATAGCATGGGGGAGTGGCAGCTTGTGAAATTACCTTACGAACCTCAACTTAGGTTTTCAGTTCAAATCACCAAATACTGAGCTTTACTACGGACCATTTCAATGTGTTGTCAACCCATTCTTTTTGATTATTAAAGCCCCATCATTCATAAAGAGGCGTTTACAGGACAAGTGGCGCCGCTTTTTGTGAATAGAGACGACTTTTTCAAGCATGTTTTTCTTATCTCCAACGATGATGCCATGCAAAATTAGAAAAAAAAAGATCGGAGACCTCGTGCATAGGCCTGTCAACTGCAGCTCACGTCGCTTAAATGCAAAAAACAGCTCAGCTTCCACCTTCTGCTACCCATTCGTGACATTTGTAAGCCAAAAAAGTTAGAAAAATGATACTAAAAAGTTTTGCAAATCTACGTAAACTCTCAACTCCCGCCTCCCTGCCCCTCCCTCTCTCCTTCCCTCGATAATTAATCTGTTCAAGCAAGATAAAGTAGAGAGGGAAAAATGCAGCTCTTGTTTCGTCTGTATATAACTGCTTCACTTCACTTAATCGGCAAAATGACAGGAATGTATTGACAAGAAGATAAGAAAGAGAAAAAGACCCATCAAGTCGCAGCTGTCTGTGCACATCATGACCAGCTGATTAGAGATTACTGTACTACATCTCTACAAGTATCTTTCTCTAGCAGCGAGTTGGGGAAAGTATACATTGTTAACATCCACATATAGGCCAACGGAGGGGAAAAGGTGCCAAGAGGATATGGCGCAGTCAAGCAGGGAGGATTAAAGGACCTACCGTATCTACGCTTCTGTCCCTCGGATGGGGCTTGTAGTGCACCGGGGGAGCGGACTCGCCCCGATGAAGTGGAGCAGGGGCGTAGTTGCCAGGACCCGGAGGAGGTCGTAACTGTTCGGGAGGACCGTAGGGGGCAAACCCGTCGATAAACACGGGTTTGTACGGAGCCGGCAGAGGCCCAGCCCAATCTTCGCTAAAAATTTATCTTCTTCATTTCGTACTACTAAAGAATTTGTGCAAATAACTTACGGTGGTGTTCTCCAAGTTTCACCCAAACTCATCCAAACATCAGTTTCTTTGCTGGTTAGACAATTTTGCATCAATTCACGTGCTTCAAGTGATAACAAAGGCGATACAATCTGGGAGAAAAATATACAGAATTTCCCAAAAAAACTATTGAAAAATTGATAGCTCACTTGTGGGGCAATATTTCTTCCCAAACCCCAATGACAAGCTTCCAAGATCACAGTTAGAGGAGTGAAGAGAAAATGCAATAATTCAGGAGCATTTGGCTCATGTATATGATTTTTTAGTTTAGCCTAAATGAAGTAATCATGCTAGAGAATCCTGCGATATTTTTTGAGCTTACCAATAAATTGAAGCTTAGTTTAAATTTCCTAAATATATCCACAAATTCGGGTTCAATGGGTAATTGTGCTCTCATATGTAGGATACCATTTGGATCAGGAGGTGGTGGTCCACCCCTTTTATCTCTGCGGTTTGCCGTTCGGTAACGATGAGCCTGCAATAAATCTGGAATTTTTTACACATAAAAAATATGATCGAAATCTGACCATAAATAGGCTTAGAGTCAGGATTATAAAAAAATCGCAAAGAAAAAAATTGATCGCCTAGGAAGACATCGATGAATCATGAAAAGTGCTTCAGAAATGTGTTTGAAAATGATCAGTTTTCCTAACAAATTTACCCTTTTCCTTTCGATCAACACCTCTGTAAGAAAAGTCGATAGTATTAGTCATAGAAAAAAATCTTCTTACCTGCTGCTCGAGCTCTCGTTGTGCTAAAGCGGCTGATTGTATTCGAGCTACGAACCTCTCTATATCATCGAAGCAGCGATTTAGCGTGTTCTAAAGGTGAATTGTCGATTACTATTTCCATTTATTTATTTATTGATTTATTGACTCAATACTTGTGAAACAACTTACCACATCCCTCTCAAAAACCTCGGCGGTATCACCTTGCACAGAAAGATCATCAGTGGGATATTGCGCAAATTCTGAAAAAAAAAACAATTTATGTAATTTTTCAAATGAATGTGTTAAATTAACCTGGAGGGACATTGACAGCTTGGGGACCACTGTTTCGTCGTCCAGGTCGTACTTTTCTAAATTGGCCACGCATATACCATTGTAGATCATCGGCAACTTCGGTGGCAGCCACTCGATTGCACTGAAATGAACAGAATATTTTATTCTTCATAGCAAAAAAAGTGAAGTTTCTGAAAAGGGCGAGGAGGGACATAGCAAAAAATCAAAATTTGGATACTAGACTGCAAGAAATGGGTGAGGTAGACGGATAAGATCATAACTGAATCTATTTTAGATGAATTGGTTTCAGGGGTAGAGGACATTATGTCGCCGGCAAGGGTCCTATGCGGACAACTGCAACAAATACGCGCCTCTATACATTATACTAATGACACCTGTTCGTAGGGATGGAGCCCATTGAAAGTCCATACATCCTTTACCCGTTTTTAGGCCACGAGCCTCAACTCCTGTTCTCAAAAAAGCTACAGTATGTGAATAAAAACTCCCACCTGAAAAATGTGCATCTCTGTCGGAGTAGACGAGCGTTTATTCCGTGTATCTTCTCGAACTATGAACAGCAAAATATTATTGTATGTATCTCTTGGGTCATTCGACACATGTGCAGTCGGTTGCTCGATCAAATCGAGAGGAAACTGCTCGACAAGGTCCCCATTCTCATCCTCTACAGTAACGCCATTTTGCCGGAATCTAAGCACCAGAGGCTGAGCCCATATCGCTGAGCTCTTCTCCATTTGCTTGAGTTTCCTGATGCCATCAGCCGGGAAGGTGAGGCCAAATTGCCGGCCAACGGCGAACGTCGCCAAATGCTCGACAAAATATGACGGCGTAACTTCATCGATGCGAGGCCCCATGCCAGCACGTTGAGCTGAAATGGAGACAGATGAGGAAGCATTTGGGGAATTTGCATCTGGGCAGCGAGTGGTGCTGGTTTTGGCTGCAAATAGCAAGCGACAAGCAAGAGAAAGCCGGTTATTGACGTCTAAAAAAATAATTACACTAAAAGTAGTTACTGGCCGATTTTTGTACCGCGAATTTTCAGGCAAGGGTGATGCTAGTTGGGGCTTGACGGAGAAGCGAGAGAGGGGTGATAAGGATCGAAGCAGCGTCAACATTAAGAGCCTATCATAAACCGTTGATTACTTGAGAAAATCGGCAAGAAAAGTTAGCCAAGCATAGCGAGATTTGGAGGGGAGAGGAGTGAGTAGTCTGAGTCAAGAATATTTTGAATTCAAAAATATTCCACGTCGAAATTTCAAATGAGGGCATTGTGAAAGCAATTGATTTATCCTACAAGTTATCCCAATTAGGACCTTCAAATTGTACAACATTCTCTCGCAGAAAAAATTTAGAAAAAAAAGAGAAGAACAAAATTCACCTGTTCTAGGCAAGCTTTGCATTTCATGTAAAAAATTAAAGGGTCAAACTGAACAAAAGTATCTTCTTTCAAAATAACAAAACTAAATTGCAATCGATTTTTACATCTAGGGCGACATCTCAGTTAGTAGGTAACTGATAAGTGACAGATTGAACAAAAGAAATTATAAGCACGTCAAAAATACCGAATATTGACAAGATGAGTCATTAACAGTAGAAAAAAGAACATCGAGAATGGTGAAGTCACGCAGTCATGAACTAAGAAAGCGTTTTGAGGAATGGGCAGAGAACTGGAAATGAAGACAAATTTTAAGGAAAAAGCAATTTTTTCGCCATAACACTCTACAAGAGAACATGATAAAATGATAATTCCTTCAAAATGAATTTCTGAGTGTGAGAAGAAAGCAGTACAATGCTGGAACATTCTGGAAAGAAATTTGGGCAAAGCTAAGACGAGCGGCGCTGTCGGGTCTTGGAAGAGATGATAACGGCGATCCGCGCCACTATCAGACAGGCGGCAAGTTTCTAAGCAACACCCGGGCATAACTTCGGAATCGATACGGTTCAATGATAAATTGATATCGCCAAACAGCCGAATGTGCGTTTACAGGATCGCCATCCAAGTAGGAGGGGGGGGGAGGCAGAAAACGGTGCGGAATAATTTTTACGACAGAAAATGCGAGAAGGGCGCAACTCACGTGCGTTGTTCTGCATGTCGTGATAGGCGATCGGAATCTGAGACGAATGACGATGTGAACTTGACGGTGACGGAGCACTAGACGGTGGTCCTGCTCCGATACGAGAATAGTAATACCCCCCAGAGGGAGGTGGTCTGAAAGAATAATACCTTTTTAAGAGGTTCTAAGCAATAATGAGAAATATGTAGGCGTGAACAAACTAACAATAAGTAAATTTTAAATGCAGCAAGATTTTTGAAATATGCTCTGAAAAAATGTTTATCCCCGTCTTGAACATGGCCCCACGGTTTTGTACTTGTGTTATTTGCTATAGATCTTGCATGTATCGTATTTATCACTCTGTAACTCAAGGCGAGTTGATCTCGATTTTCGACAGTACTTTTTGTGGTGCACCTTGTTTATATGACATGAACAAATAAGTAAATAAGTAAGTAAATAAATAAATGGACAGGCAAAGTGAGCCAGCTTTGGGAGGAAATGGAAGAAATAATTGTCTAGTAAGATTGAAGCATACATGGTCTTACAAATACACAGTCTACAAAGTTCTGAGAAAACTTCAGAAAGTCTACTGCTGAAAAAAAATCGAAGATTCCTAAACCGTATTCAAACGCGATCTTGCGGTGCTGGTGACCGCGATCGAAGAACTTTGGCTATGAAAGCGCTTCTGACTATCAAATTCAGCATCAAAAATCTTGCAGAGAATACAAAAAGCATGTTCTCAGCAGTTGTTTTGAAGCAAAATAAGTTTCTTCTAACATATCCTTGGTGATGATTCAAGGAGTCTCTGTTGATTAAATTCTGGTCAAAAATATTGGCACTGACCTGGTCTGAGTAATTATGCATCCAAATCCAAAAATATAAATCCGAATTTGATTTTGATAATAAAAATTCCAGTATTAATATTCAGTCAAAGCTCATAGAAATTTGACAAAAAAACTGATGTAAAGTAAAAAGAATTCTAAAGCTTTCCCAGCAACTGTTTGAAGTTTTGACCAATCAAAACCCCAAACTGTTGTTGCGGTTTTCAAATTAGCTTGAATTTTTCATTATTCGAATTTTACAAAACAGAAGCTGAGATACGTATGAAGAAAAGCTAATAATATAAAAATTCGTTGCGGCGAATGAAAGCGGTAGAAAGGCGAAGTGGAAGATAAGAACACAATAACGACTGCATGGCGCCTATACCCATGACTAAAACACTATACTAATAGAAGAGGGGTGGACGGTCGTGAATTCCTCAGCAATAGGATAAAAGCAGGGCAGCTGACGTACAGAATACCATGGACACAACCAGGGAAATGAGTCAATTTGACGTGATTTTCCCTACTAAGAAGTTATCAAAGGTTTCGCTGACGCCCAAAAAGAATTGATAACTACTTGGAGAGTTCCATATCCAGCGTTACCAGGTAATCAATCGTGAAAATCACCATATATATCATTATTGTTATTATTTGTTCCGCACAAATACTTTGCAAAATTTGTTTTCACAGCTCGAAAACATTATGCATACGAGGCTGTTACAGTACACTTACAGTATGCAGGCGATCACGGTAATCATAGCAATCACATTGTGCAGATCCCAAAGAGATTGTTACTGTATTAGAAGGTTCTTCTTTTTTCGATCATAAAATTCAGAATTTGCGCCTAAAAAGCGCATACGAAAACTGGTCCCCGAGCTATGAATCAATTATGCAATGCCAAAAATTCCCCGTTTCAAGACAAAATTCGCCTTTATTGGGCTACTCTAAAGCGCTGCATAATTGTCTCTTACATACTGCGCTTCACATAGCAACCAATAAAAATACATAAAATGCCATTTACAGCCATCAAGACAATAGATTCATCATAGATAAAGAAGGAATCGAGCGACGACACTCTAGTAACATTGAAGGACGTTATGTGCCTACACCCAAGCATACAGGGCTTAAATTATTGATTAGTGATAGCGTAACTTTAAAAAATATGGTTTATGCTGAGAATGCCTTTGACATTCTAATGACTTAAAATGAGATTACTGCATGTGATCCTCTCATTCATAAAAGAGATTGAAATTCTAGCCAAATTAAGAATTAGAAAGAATTTCCAAATATAGACAACTTTAAAAACAATCAATAGGCACAAAATATCTTACTCAAAATGAGGTAATCACAAAATCAAGCCCGAAAATAATTAGAATTTTTTTTGAGACTGAAATTCGAAAAATGTATGATTCAAGCGTTTATTTTGATCACTTATCATCACGATATGTCGCTTATGTTTTTATTTCGAGAGTTGCTATTGAGCGTGATTTCCTTCCTTTGAAATTCAAATGAATAATTTCATTAAGAATGAATGAGTTTGCACATTCGCAAAATTTTTAAGTCTATACCGACCTGATATTTTTCTACATAAAAATGGAATGGATTATGTCATAACAACTACAAAAACATCTACACTTTTGTTTGTTCTTACATCATATGTTGACAGAGAAGCAGGTAAAAATCAATAAATCTCAACAGAAATCTCAATAATCATTATTCTCTTTGCAAAGTAAAACATCCAAATCTCTAAAAAAACTCACTTTTGATAAGCGTCTATCCCTCGTCGCATTTTTTTCTTACGTTGACACTATTGGCATATCTGGAATGAGAACAGACTATATATAATAAACTCTACACCTTCAAAGATCGGAAGCAGGAGGTGTGCAAAAGAGGAAAACAGCGTAAAATTCAGTTACGACGACGGCAGCAGCAGCAAGCAAAACAACAAAAGGAGCTAGAAAAAACGAAAAGTGGATCTGACAGCCATAGCAGAGACGTGAATACAGAGCGCTTAAGCCAGAAGAAAAAATAAACGAAGATCAAGAAATACAACTAGCTCATAAAAAAAAATTAAAGAAGACAATCATCTTCTGCTTCGCATGTCAAATGAAGAGAATGAATTGGCGATAAAATTCGGAAAAGATTGAAAATGCAGTAAAACAGAGCTTTATTTTACTACTTTTTATTAAGAGCAGAGGGGCACCAAATGTTTACTCAACAAACAAGCCAACTTCCTCTCAAAATTATCAGGAGGTGTAGACGTCACCATACATGTCTTGTCAAATAAAACTCAGAATATTGGAAAAATTTTCAACAAAGATTGTTGTGCTTTAGAATCTTATATATAAAGCTGAATGTCTGTTTGTCTGTATGTCCGTCTGTATGTATGTACGTATGTTCCGAATAGAAAATTCCATTTCTGAACCGATCGGGACCAAACTTGGCACACATACACTTCGGGCCCCGGCGGGTGTCATAGGCTACTTTTCGTATCGATCGATATCGATTTTATCGATTTTTTTCAAAATTTGAGCTACGGGGCTGGGAGTTGGCACAGGGGGGTAATCGAGCATGCTGATCACCCCCATCGATAAAAGTAATGCACGGTTTCAAAAAATATTGTATTCGTAATCAGCATGCTCGAGTATCCCCCTGTGCCAAATCCCAGCCCCCTAGCTCAAATTTTGCAAAAAATTAATAAAATCGGCATCGATCGATACGAAAAGTAGCCTATGACACCCGCCGGGGCCCGAAGTGTATGTGTGCCAAGTTTGGTCCGGATCGGTTAAGAAATGGAATTTTCTATTCGGAACATACGGCGGAGCCGGGTAAGCCAGCTAGTCCTATATAAATACAACTCCTTCCGAGTTATATTGGAGTAATTATACCTAAAGCTTCCAAATAATTTACCGAACAGATAAATAACTTGAAAACGCATGCAAAGAGCACTTTACAAGAGCCACCAAACTGCACGGATAGCAAGAATGTTTTGGAAAATTGCGCATATGCGAGAAAAGGAAGTGCTATAATAACCGGAATGGAAAGAATGAGCGATTATACATAAATTGGTGTAATGTATTTTTGCTAAATTTGTAATAGTTCTGCGCATTTCCAGGCTTCGAAGATTAAATGATCTTTCATATTTGCACGTCTCAAATTGCAGTGCTTGCCAATAATTGATTGCATTAAAAAAGTTGAATTCAAACTAACATCAGCTGTCCTTCATAGTTTATCTTAGACTAACAAAGATTTCAGAATTGGCGTTAAAAAAAGATAGAAGCGATATTACAATGTGACAATTAAGAAGACAAAAATTCACGAAAATCCTATGGAATGTGTAACTCGTGGTAAAAGTCTGCCCAGCTTTCCAGTTTCCGTGATTCAGTTCCCATTTCTTTTCAATGGTGCGGATGGTAGAGTCCTATCTACCTCCTTTCCTCTTTTCTTGATATGAGGTTTGGTCACATTCCAAAGAGGTAAAAAGATCAAATATCAGGCGAGTCGTGCTTGAACATGCATTGGGATGACTATTTGACATTTTGTTGAGTCAGCCCCATAAAAAAGGGGTGTGGAATTTTGCGACATGAAAAAGACGAAAGCTGATTCAGTTTCGGTCAAAAATTGTCAGGAAGGCAACAGACAGGACTCCGAGAGTTTTTATATGAAATCGAATATAGATATGAACACGAGATAAATGAAAATCAACTATGATTCAATGGTTACGGTGAAAGTACATGGATCATTTGATCTATACTAGTTACGGTAGAACATGGATCATTTGATCTACTGCTCACGGTAAGGTACATGATTATTTGAGCCATTTTACGGTGGAAAGCTGGATTAGCTGATATTGTAGTCACGGTAGAAGCCCATGGATCATTTGATCTACTAGCTACAGTAGAAGTACATGGCCATTTGATCTACCAGTTACGGTAAGAAGTACATGGAACATTTGATCTACCACTAGTTAAGGTACATAGAAGTACATGATTTTCGACCAACTGTATACGGTAGAAGCACATATATTATTTGATCTACTCATCACATTAGAAGAACACGCACCATTCATTGTACTAGTTACAGTAGAGGTAAATGGATTGTTTGATCGTCTAGTTACGGTAGAAGCACATTGAACATTTGATCTACCATTAGCTACGGTAGAAGTACATGATTAATTGACCTAATCTACAGTAGAAGAACTTGGACCATTTGATCCTAATTACGGTTGAAGTACATGAATTATCTGATCTGCTACGGTAGAAGTACATGGAACATTTGATCTACCACTAGTTACGGTAGGAAGTACATGATTTTTTGAACTAGTTTACGGTATGTAGACGCACATGAGTCAATTGATTCTGTTAGTTACGGTAGATTTACATAAATCATTTGATCTCCTGATTACAGTACAAGTACATGACCAAGTATAGCGCAAAACGTACAAAGTGTTCAACGGAGGCGAGATCGAGCGTTATCAGTGAAGGCCGACCGACCGCATATGCGAGTATGGAAAACAGGTCGGGGGGGGGGACTAGAGGGGGAGAAGAAGAGAATTCGCAAGAAAGCGCCGAGTGGCAGACACGGGGGAAGGGTTGTCCACCCCGGCGACACAAGTGCGCGATGAAATGCGCTACCTGCGCCGTGCAGACTAATAGGACAAAACTCTTCATTAAGAGATGACTGCGCTGAGTATTTGTGACAATATTCACCCCCCGATCACAGGGGAGATTTCGGAGAAGGGGGGAGGGGGTAGATAAGGCCCATTAGTGCAGAAATTGATGCGCAAAGCAAGGATACAAAAACATGCATAAAAGTCCCTCGAGAGTCATTGGCAGTGAAAGCGAAGCAGTTATACTTTTATATCATTTGAAAGACTGCTTCCCTTCTTTGGATAGTAACATATTTTTTGCCTCCTTCAGCCCCCTTCCTCTCCCCCAACTCGTAAAACTCATACCTACAAATCCATCTTTTCAAAATACCAGCTGTCTACAATCCGGCCGACTTCTTATCTACCTATCTGGTCAGCTAAGAATCGAAACATTATGTATAACACATTTTTTGCATGAAAGAACACAATCGGCCAAAAATATGACTACGAATCTTCAAAGCGAATGATGCGATTGCTGATTGTAAATCAAATAGAACAGAACCAGTTTTGTCGATCAACGTTGGCATCATAGTTCTGAGAATTCTATGAGTCATGGTTTCTTGGTGGACTTCTACTAAAAAGCTAAGAAATTCTGTGAACAAGAAGAATTAAAAATGCAATTTGTTCCTCAGCAATCTGGCTGATGCTTGTAATATCAACCATTTTTTACTATTTCGCAAAGGAAATCTAATGCTAAACAGTAACTATTCGTAATTTTTCAGCCATATACTTCTTGTAAAATGTTAAAAGTGTTCTACAAATATTTTCTTAGCCAGTTGAAGAATACAAGACAAAAAATTTGTACTCAAACACACAGAGGATCAAAATTAATACTTCAAATAAATAAATAAATATCATAAATAGTACTGCGAACGAAAAGGTTAATGAATTAGCAATCGATATCTGAAGCAAGGTAGTATAGATACTGAAGAAGTTGGAAGGAAAGAAATGCAAACTCATTTATCTTTAAAAAGTGCTCCCTGCTCATTTTCAAAATTGCATTACATTCGTCTTCCAAGAAAAAAAGAATACAGTTCTGTTACAGTGCACACAGAGAACTTGTTTACGTTTTTAGATTCCAGTTCTATATTCCATTTCCATGAATCACTAATATGATACGCTTTCATAGAGTATGATGAATGCCAGATTATATTTTGACAGCTTGTATGATACACCCGGCTCAACTATTCAACTCATTCTCGAAAAAAAATTTGACTCAATCGACTTGATTTGTAGTCACACAGTCACAAAGATATAATAAGAGGTAGTAACAGGGTCAGTTATTGATTGACTATTACATTCAATTCGTTTTATCACTCTTCTTACTTGCTTGGCACCATTTTCTACTCATAAGAATCAGTAGTGCAGTAGCCATTTTTTTCTTTTCTCTTGAAAAAACAAAGCGCTGCTGAATGCAAAAAGAACTAGAGCAAACACAAAGTACAAGATCATCAGCTCTGGAGAGTCTCATATCATTCCAGTTCATGCTAAGGTAGTTACTGTCATCACAGATAGATGGAAACATAGGTCTATCAGAGATTATAAGGTAACCAGAAGAGCAACATATTCATGATGGCGAATGAGAAATGAGGAAAAATCAAAAAACCGTCATCGAGATCTTAATTGCTCAAAATTCTATTAAATATTGTGGCTGCATCGCTTCAGCAGAAATATATATTTTTGCATCAAGCCAATCATCATAGGATCAAAAGTGATGCTAAAATCAATGTTGGGAGTCGAAATTTTGAAAAACCATGAATCAAATGTACTGCGCCGTTTTTATGCATCTTTTATTAAAGCGGTGCTTACAAATCTAATACCAGACTACTCAGACAATTCACCGAACTTCCGCAGAACAAGCAAAATTTGCAGCGGTTCCGCAGATTTTGTTTTCTGTTGCAAAAGTAGACGCGTTAAAAATAAGAACTTCCGCAGGACCTTTTACAAAGCGCTGCGGAACTTCGGAAAAATGCCAGCAGTTTCGCAGCACTTTGACATGCCGGTACTTCCGCAGGGTTCTGATGTTGTCCCGTGAAGTTGCCTCGCCAACAACTAGAGTGCATTATTGAACATGTCAGCCGTAGTGTAGAGGATAGTAGGGGGTCTCACAGTCAACAGAGTAAGGTTCAAGTCTCGCTTAGGTCTTCTCTTTTGCTGTTGTGGTTCGCCTT